CTTTCTACATTTTATGTATAAAATATAGATAACGGTATAATGTAATGTATAATAAAATATAACGTATTTTCGTACATTTAAGTGATTTAGGAAGAATATTGTTATACGCGCCATCTTAAAAACACCAGTAGTGATAAAAGCAACGCGACGTGTACGAGTATACAGGGTGGCGCATCGAAAACGAAACAGACGCATTTACTGGGGGACACAAGTTTGGGAAAAAATCACGTTATCACGTGCGGGGGTGACACCACCCCCAAAATCTTAAATGGAAAGGGGGGTCGAGTGATACCTTGTTCAATAGTAGAGATTGCTGTTGCTATTAATACCTCTGTGGAAATTTTATGCTGCAAGTTCAAACTTCACAACATTGCATTTTTGGTCGTGGTTGCCTATCGCCCTCCTCACTTGAATTTAAATGATGCCATACATAATTTTGACAATTTGTTATCTTTTTTTACTCCGTTGTATGACAATATTATTTTCTTGGGTGATGTAAATATTGATCTATTCAATCATGAGAACCTTCTAAATAGATGTTTTGATTCATATAATTATGCTCAGATTATTACCGAGCCCACTAGAATTACGCAGTTCATTTCCACATTGATAGATCCCATTTTTGTGAATGATGTAAATATTATTTTAAACTCTGGGACATTAGCAGCAGATCAAATATCCGATCACAGATTAGTTTTTTGTGAATTAGCAATGCCTGCTCCTAGAAATGCACCAAAATTTATTGAATATAGGGACCTGAAAAATATTGATATGGTCTTGTTCAAAGCACACTTAAGACTTAATGTATTGGATGAAATTTTTTATATTAATGATATCGATCAAAAGGTTTTATTTTTCACTGAAAGTTTAATTGCTCTTTTCGATACACATGCACCTATTCGTAAAGCGCTTATAACGAAAAATGCATCGCCTTGGTTAATCCCAACCTTGAAACGTATTTTCAAGGAAAGAGATGAAGCTTTACTTAAATTTCGACATGATTCAACTGAAGAAAATTGGATCAACTACAGAATTTTGCGTAATCACGCACTTGCTGCACTTAAAAGAGAGAAAAAAGCATATTTAGCTCATATCGAAAAGTCAAACCCTAAAAAATTTTGGAACCACTTAAGAAATTTTGGAGCTTACCAAAAAAATAAGACAGAAATTCCCCCACACTTGCTCAATTCTGACGAAGTTGACAATTATTTTTTATCAAATTTGTATCCCACAATGTTAATTCCCGTCTTATAAATCGTACGGTAGATGAATATAATTCAAGTTCTTTTAATTCAGACATTCCGCTCTTTCACTTTCATTTAGTTACCCCAGATGTTTTAGATATTATAATTTCCATCAAATCTCAAGCAACTGGTTGTGATGGAATTAACATAGGAATGATCAATTTGTGTCTTCCTGAAGTGTTACCTCATCTAACACATATCGTCAATTTTTGTTTAGAAAAAGGAGTATTTCCAAGTCTGTGGAAAGAGGCTGCTATAACTCCTCTGGCTAAGAATAATAATCCTACAGAATATTCGGATTTGAGACCCATTAGTATATTGTGTGCCTTGTCAAAGATATTGGAAAAAATTGTTTATATGCAATTGGTAAAATATTTTGAAGAGTACAATATATTTCCAAATTGTCAGTCTGGTTTCCGTAGTGGTCACAGCACAACATCTGCATTATTACACGTAATTGATGAGATTATCTCTAACTTAGACAATCATATTTACACTGTGCTGGTGTTGTTAGATTTCTGAAAGGCATTTGATACGGTTAACCGCGAAATGCTTCTATCCAAATTAAAATACTACGGACTATCTGACGTTCCTCTTTGCTTTTTTAAATCATACTTAAATAATCGCAAGCAACGAGTAAGAACAAGCCAAGGAGTTTCTCTTAGTGCCGATGTTGCTTCTGGTGTTCCTCAGGGTTCCGTGCTTGGTCCTTTGCTATATTTAGTTTATACTTTTGACTTGCATACTGTATTACAGTTTTGTAGTATTCATACTTACGCAGACGATACACAATTGACCTTCACTTTTGACTCTACTAATGTGGATCAAGCTTCGTATAAAATAAATTTAGATCTGGTAAATATAACTGACTATTGCAAGGCTAACTGTTTGAAGCTCAATCCTACCAAGAGTTTTGCAGTGTTGTTCTGTCCCAAAACCAGCTATGAGCATTTTGAAAGGATGATTGATTTGAGGGTAAATAATGTCCATATTCCACTCGTCACGCATGCAAAAAGTCTAGGTGTTACTTTAGACGTAAATCTTAGATTTCATCACCACGTCAGTAATATATCTAAAGCTACATATGCAAGCCTAAGACTCCTATACTCCAATCGTTCTATTCTCAATTTCAAGACTAGAAAGAAATTGGTGGAAAGTTTAGTTATGTTTAAGCTGCTTTACTGTTTTATCCTTGTCTTGACTCCATAACAAAAACCAGATTGCAGAAAATTCAAAATTGTTGTTGTCGTTTTGTTTTCGGCCTTCGTAGGTACAGCCATGTTACATCCAAGATCTGTGAGCTGGGGTGGCTGAAGCTCAATAATCTTTTCAAGTTTCATATGTTGGTTTTTGTACATAAAACAGTCGTTACCAAGAGACCTATTTACCTTGCAAATAAGTTAGTTCCGCGTAGGAATTTAATTTCAAGGTTACGTCATGATGAACAGTTCAATATTCCTCTTCACTACACCTCATTATATCAGAGGTCTTTCACGTATAATGCCGTTCAGCTTTACAATTCAGTCAGTGCGGCTAACAAACAAGAAAGTTTACTCTCTTTTAAAAAATCAGTTAGAAAACAGCTATTAGAGATACAATCATCTCTCAATGTTTGAGTTGTTAATTTATTTTATTTTTATTTTTGGGATTTTGTTAAATGAATATTTTCAATTTGGTTGCATGCTTGTCTAGCAAATGGTATAATCTCGTCATTGTTCTGTAATTGTTTATATTCTATGTATTATGTTCCTTGTATAAATTTTTGATGTTTTGTCCATATTATGGTTAAGTGGAAGAGTAGCAATCAAGCTAAACTTCGCCATAATATGGAAGGTTGCCAATAAAGACACTTTATTATTATTATTATTACCTTATTTTAAAGGTCTTTCAATTCCCTTTATAATGATATAAAATTAATGTACTTCAGTTCAGTAGTTTTGAAGATTTATTGATTTAAAGCTTAAATAAAACTTATACATCATCATTAGTGGAGATCAATACATTTGGCAGCAAAGTAATTTAAAAATGAAGAATGAACTGACCCGTTAGACAAGTAAATGTTGAAAATGGCCACCATGACTCTCCATGCAATAATAAAGATTTTGCTCAAAACGTTGCTGCACATTTTGCAATATTTGAGGAGTAATTTGAAGGCATTCACATTCACAATTCTTTGTCGCAGGTCTTCTAATGATGTTGGCTGAGTAGCATAGATTTTACTTTTTAAATGACCCCACATAAATGAATCCAAAGGTGATAAATCTGGCGATCTTGGGGGCCTTTCAATGGCACCTCTTCTAACAATCCATCGATCTGGAAACGTCTGATCTAAATATTGTCGAACACGTAATGCGTAATGTGGTGGTCTTCCAGTAATTCCAAATACCGCCGGTCAAATTTCCAGGTAAGAAAAAAGGACCAACTAAATGATAAATTCTGGGATTAGAATCGGACCAATATCGGTAGTTACGATTTACTACGCCATTTAAGAAAAAGGAACATTCGTCGGAAAAGCAAGTGTTGAATAGAAAATGTTCATCGTTTATAATTCGTTCACTCATATCTTTACAAAATTGTAATCGCCAATCAAAATCGTCTTCATTAAGTTCTTGTACCAGGTGAATTTTATACGGATGAAAACTATGGGCCTTTAGAATCCGTTGGACAGTACGTCGACTAACACCTCACAGTCTCCAATTTGCGGGTACATAACGTAGGATCTACACAAACTTGCCCTAAGACCCCCACTTCTATTGCTTCGTTCCTTATGGGATTTTCAATGTTGCGTTTTTCATTGGCGACTGACCCAGTTTCCCGAAATTCAGCTACAAGTTCTAGAACATATTTTGGATGCACGTTACTGTTGTCGTGTCGCTCATTAAATATTTCTGCTGTTCTATTAGGGCGCTGATTATTTCCGAAAAATATTTCGATAATTTCAACTCTTTCTGGAATATACCATGGTTAGTTTATGTGATAAAGCGTTAGAAATTATTTTAGCAACAAAGTTTGGTCAAATCATTCGCAAACTATGTACTAAATTCCTATTTAAAATAAGTAAGTATTTCTGTATCTTTCTTCAAGAAATAACTTTTTTGCCACAAAAAACGCTCCAATGGGCGTAGTGAAGAAAAGCACTTACTTATTAAGTAAATTCTTTTAGTCAAATTTCTTCTGAAAGTAGTACAAACTAATCTGATGTACCTATTAAAGTCTACTTTAAGCTTTAAATCAATAAATCTTCAAAACTACTAAACTGAAGCTCATGTATTTTACACCATTATAAAGGGAATTGAAAGACCTTTAAAATAAGGTATCACTCGACCCCCCGTGTTAACGTGATTTTTTGCCAAACTTGTGTCCCCCTCAAAAACAAAATCGAATGGGTCTGAGCGTTTTAAAAAAAAACTGAGCTGCCAGTAAATGCGTCTGTTTCGTTTTCGATGCGCCACCCTGTATATGATCGTTATGCTTTGAGTGTAAATCAATATTTGATTCCTTGACGTAATATGAGTATTTATCAAGAGCTATTTCAAGATGTTTTACACCAGATCTCCAATCTGATGACGCTCATTGCTGCAATCTGATAAAACTTTTTCCACGAAAAGTCCAAATAGTGCATTACTGGTTCTGACAAATCCTACGTCTTTTTTATGTCAGTGCACTACATGGAAAATTATAAGTTTTTCCGAGGGCGTGGGAAGTATAGTCAATCTACTTGACGTAATTTTTTTAGGATTGTTATAAAAACGCCAATAGATGAATGATTTTTTATTATGGATCGTCAAAAAATATGGTTACAGTCCTACCAAACTACAGCTACTTAAACTACTAAAGGCACAGCAAGCGTACATATTGTACACATTTGTTAAATTTAGTATGACGAATTAGAAAATTACTGTACAATGTCACACAGGTTTAAAAGCTGATAAACTAAAAGTATAGAAATCTGAAGATTCGAACTAGCATCTGAAAATTATCATATGAGTAACCAATCATCAAAACGTAGTGTGTTTATATTCCTTCTAATGTTACATAGTTTCTCATACTGTATAATCGTGAGCTTATCAAAATAGAATATCTAACATTCTGATAAACTAGTTAGTTGATCAGATATCTAACAGTAACAACGCAGACTCTATGAGTGATCTGCCTTTGAAAACTAGGGACAGCTCGTCAAAATAATTAATGCTTTCTAATACCTCGAAAAACAATGTGCTGATTCTGGTTATTTTTGCTATACGTGAACCTATTAAAAATTATGAAACATCTCAAAATCTTGATATTAACAAAGACTATTTTGACGAGCGTTCATTCAATGAGCCAAAACAGTATTGGCACTCCCTATGTTTTTGATACTAAATCTATCTAAACATTTTGGTGGCAACAGATTGAGCAAATTAAAATATAAGAATAATAATAGGAAATATGAGATTCAAGGATCAAAAAACGTCTTGTAGCTGTCATTTGGCAGACAAAAATAACCTAAAGATTAACATAAATAATATAGCGCTAGAAAAAGTGTCGAGTATTGAATGTTTGGGATTACTAATAGATGAAAATTAGAATTGGTTACTACATTTAAATGGAATTTCTGATAAAATAGTTTCAATGGTTATAAATATAAGAGTAGAGATTATTTGTCTAACAAAAGCAAATTTCAAATTTATAATGCCTTCTTTCTCATACACTTTAGGTACATCTTGCCTGTATGGGGTATGTGCGGTGAAGTTAATTTTAATAAAGCTCTAGTTTTGCAAAATGAAATTTTGAGGATATTGTTCAATTTTGATTGGCTTACAAGTTATAATACAATTTATTCAAATTTAAATTCAAATAAATCAAGAGTGATAATGGAGGTGGAACAATGTAAACTATTTTATAAAATTATAAATAATCTACAAAAAAGTAACATAAATAGTAGGTTTTACCATAACGTGCATGACCTCCAAACAAGATCACTAAATAATGTTTATCAAGTTTCCACGAGAACTAATATACGTTCAAAAAATCCAATCACAGGCAATTAAAACTATAGAAGTTTTGTTAGAGAATTGAAAGATTTTAAAAATGTTATTTAATTTATTTCTTGAAATTATGCGCAACATTGCAGTTTATATTTTATAGATATTGATTATTTTGTTATTCTCGTGGTCAGTGTTTGCAAGCACTGATTGGAGAATTACTGTTAAAACTGGTTATACATTTTGTATTATTATGTATAAATAAATTATTTCAAAACAAATTTATTGGACCTGAAGGCCTGAAAAAGAAAAAATCTGCAAAACGTCAGCTACAAGATGTTCTTATTAAGTCAAATTAGAATAGAATTTACTCAGGAATTCCATGCCACTATGACTTCAGGGCATTATGGATAGCTGGTATAGCTGTAAATAACTCTTGTCAAAACTGTTTTACTTGTTTGTTTCTTTAGTGTGCCAATACTTCTTTGGAACATGACATATTGTTATGCTTATATAATTTTTAATTTGCTCAATATATTGCCATCAGAAATTGCTATTTGGTTGTTACTTTTCAAATAAAAATTCATTTATTAATTATTGAGATTCAAGAAAAAATGTATGCCAATACTTTTTTCACCCACATAGTGAAATAAGTTGTATTCCTTCTCAAAAACGAACTTCTTGCATGGCACTAAAATGATTTTTTCAAGAAAAGTGTGGAACCAAGAAATGTTGCTGGTTGCAAGAAAATTGTGCGGTTGTTTTTCTGATTCATCGCTGCTACACTGGCAAATAGCACATGTGTGATGAATGACATTAGTTACATTTTGAAAGTACACAATTTTGTTTTTTTGTACTTTGAGAAAAAACGAAAGAAGTCTAAAACATCGATGAAGTTTTATGTAACTTCTGGAACATATCCCATAGTTGTATCTGCTTTGAGGTGACGACAAAATCATAAACAAACCTTTTTCGCTTTGCCTAAATTCTCTTGAAGGTAATATTTGTTATATTGGTTACAAAATTCGAACTTGCTTCTCTCAACCAATAAACGTAACCAGACATGTTTTAAGAGTTACTCTACTAGGGAGAGCTAGGCTACAATCAGGATCTACAAAACGCTAATAATGCCACGTTATGCATTTAAAACATGGGCCATAACAAGAGCAAAGCTGGAATGAAAGGTGTTAAGATTTTAGGTGGCAAAATGTTACAAGATGCTACGTGAGCACGAAGAACAAATGATGAGTTGATAAAACTGTTCACAGAGCCAAACATAACGGCGATCATAAAAGTTCAGAGGTTGAGATGGTTGGGACACAAAGAATGACATAACATAGGATATCAAAGGCACTGCTTATCCATCAATTAGGGGGAAAGAAAAGGAGATGCAGACCTAGGACTAGGTGGAAAACAGGTGAAAGACGACCTGAGGAAATTATTCATATATGACTGGAAAACAATCGCTAGAGAAGAATGGCGAAGGATTATTAATCAAGCCATGGGCCTACTAGGCCTGTAATGCTAGTTTATATACTATACTAACATTCCGGTTTACCCGGCAACCTTTTCCAAAGTAATGTCTGCCACACGAGAGTTTGCGAGGCAAAAAAATGCGGGCAAAAAATACGGGATGCCAGACGTATTTCGTTTCGCGTAAAGATATGAGATTTATATATATGTATATATATATATACTTAAACAAAATGTACTAATCATTTGAGGAGTACTATTGTGAAAAATGTCATCAATATAAGTATACTAAGTACAAGAAAAATCTACGATTTCGTCACATCTTGGCGAAAAGTTATACAACACGTCACCAAAATTGAAGATGGATATTGGAAGATCGGCTAATAGGAGAAATACAGGAAGAGATAATTATTAACTTGGGAGAAACGAGTGACAGCGATGGCAGCTTGTTAGATACTAGTGATAATAGTGACAATGACTATGTGATGCCACCTCCTTAGTTTGTGTGTTAGGGATTCAACTTCAGATGACCATGGACAAGGGACATTGTTGGTTACCAATTACTTCCAAGTGCGGGGATAGTTTGGAAGTGATATGAGCAATTTTGAGGCGAACATATGACACTAAGACACCATCACGGTAAGACGACTATCTACTCAATTGATTCTCATTCAATTTGTTAACGACCAATAACTGCTTATTCATTTATTGTTACGCCTTATTAATTTATCTTATTTTCACTTTCCGCACATTTATTCACGCCGCCTATGCTTCGGACCACCTATCTTCCGTCCTCCCCCGTCTTTCACCCTTCCGTCTCTCGCAGACTCTCGTGTGTTAGACTTTACAAAGTTCGAATGCAAAATATTTTTTTAACATCCTTACATATAACTATTGCTGCTGGAGTAAACGTTAATAAAATAGTTCTTCCGACTATAGCTATATCTAATCTAGTTGAAACAGCAAAGTTTATCCAATCAACGCACCATTTTTATAATTACTGGCCAGTACGAGCGCGATGAATTACTTCTTGGTTGAGAATTGCCATGTAAACAAACACTATTCTGTTGAATAAACGTGAAATGACATCGTGTAGTGCCTCTACAAGTTTAAACGCAACACTTTAAGTACAATAAAACAGGAACAACTTACATTCGCCACTAGAAGGTAAAGAAATACGATTTGAAAAACGGGTTGTATGTTACCTTACTATGCAAGGCACAACTATTTTGGGGCTATAAATGCCACAAAATTCTATAGTTCGGTGTTCTTTAGTGTCTAGCTTAAAAAGTGCATACAAAATCCATTTTTCTATACATTCCAGTGACGAAACCATCTTACACTGCTCAAAAACTGAAACGAATACAGAAAAACTTACATCAAAAAGAGGGTAAACCAGTGCTGAGATAAATATATCAACGACAAAATAATTTCTTTGGCGACATGCGTTTTTTCGATTTTCAAAATTCGTAAAACCAACAGAGATCAACATAAATCACTAAACAATTTGTCATTTAAATCAGAACAAAACTTGGCAAGTAAAATAGACAAACGATAAAACATTTTTGAGCACCTCAACATCATATCTTGTAGGATAATCTTAGAAATTCTGCGTTCTTTTGCGTTTTGTATCCATCGCATCAAGAATAGGCTGTCTTTTCAACTGATATTTTTTACGCAGTTCGTCTATCTCTCTCTCCATATCTAAATCTAGCGAATTCATTTTCTGCTGCAACTCCTCGAGACTCAAGTATTTCAACTGTAAAATTTTAAATCATTTCAATTTTGTAACAAAAACTGGACTGGCGGACGGATTGCAGATGACAACGCTACCCTTGTACCCTTAGGGTACAGCCTGTCCATAACAGTGGCGGATTTAAGTAATGTCAAAATGGACATTGCCGCCCTGCCCACCCCCGGCAAAAATCAGCTCTAGTGTGTATATTGTTCAGCGCGTCTGAATGTAAAATTAATAACACGAAATCAAAGTGTTGTTATATTCTTTTAATGACCATCTGCGTAATGTTTATGAAACAGCGCGTTAGCATTCAGTTTTTAATAAGAAAATTTCCTTTTCATCTCTTACGAAATTTTTTGAAAAATGGCTATTTCATTTCTAAAAAAGTACCGTATGACCCTGGTATTTCTCAATGAGTGGACGGGTTATTTTTTCATTTTGTGCTTACAGTAATATACATTTCTGATAAACACTTTCGTGGTATGAATCAGCCTCTTTCAGTCTAATAAAGACTCTAATGCGTCTATTACAGTCTTTTCACGTCTTCAATGCTTATAACCATAAACTTTCACAATACTGTGCATTTTTTTATTAGATGACATATCTATTTTCTTCATGATAATATCGTGGAAGAAATTTTTGTATGTATTATCAATTGCATAGAAGATGAAGAATGGGAGCTGCAAGATCTCTCGTTTCCTCCATGTACTGGACCTTTTTTCTCAATTTGTTATGGTGGCATTCAGTAATGAATACTGTTCAAGTTCAAATGCAAAAGAAAGAAATATACTTGATGATGGAGAGATGGAATGGGAAAATCCTGTTTTACCCATTGTCAGAAAGAGGAAAATCAAAAAAATGTTTGACGAAAAAGCTGCTGACTCGCCACTGGAAACACACGAAAAACATCGAATAAATTACTACGAAGTTTTGGATTCAATGAGTAACGAATTGCAAGAACGTGCTAAAGGATTTCGTGAAGTGAATGATGTTTTTGGTTTTTTGCCAGAGAAACTGGTCAATTTAAAAGAAAACGAATTAGAAACCAGCGTCACATTTGATGGGAAAATATTCGGAATTTTTCACTACAGATCTAAAATATGAATTAGCCAGTTTTAAGAGCACGTATTCACTAATGACAGCCCGCTAGATTATTTGAAGTTCATGATCGCAAACAATTTTATAGACAGTTTTCCAGAGAGCTGCAGTTTATTCAGATTGTTTTTTACTTTGCCTAACGGTTCAGCTAGTGCTGTACGTGTCATGAGCTCTTAGAAAATTATTAAAGAATACCGTCTTTGGCTGAAGACACACTCAACAACTTCTCTATCCTCTATATCTAAAGATCAGTACCTAATATACTCAATTTGAATTCTGCGATGGAAGTTTTTGCTGAACGAAAAGCAAGGCGAGGATTCAAATTAGAATAATTCTGTTATTTTGTATTGAATAAAAAATGGTTGATCTCATAGTCTCTACTTGATTCAGGTTATATAGACATATAGTAAAAAAAAACAGAGGTAACAGTACGCAGCAGCTACTATTGTGTATATAATTGTTAATATGTGACATTCTTATTGCCAGCAAAATCGGCAGTTCGAACTTTATCTGAACAATTGAGATGGATTTTACATTATCGAAAAATTTTATATCCACGTGAACATTGGAACAGTTGAATTAGCTGTTTTATTGGCACGTTGAAGCACCATCAGATTAACTTTTTGCATCAAATTACTATTAACAAACCGTCCATGAGCTTGTTGCGGTTACTTGTGCAGGTCTTCCTAATTTTTTTATTCTCAGTTGCCGTCATTAATTTGCAAATAGCGATAAATGTGGAAACTATCGCTTTCGCAAATAGTGCCCAGTATATATCCTGCAGTAATGCACGTTATTTGACGTATTTTAGTGTTGTTCACCGAGTTTGTATTCAATGAAATATTAATCACGGCAAACATGACAACAACTATCGATCATATTTTTTTTCTTACTTATAATTTTATGCAAATCCTATAAATAGTGTGCACTCCAAATTTGACTCGACGCCCTTTATTTATCGGTAGCATCCGTGATAACTGTTAAACTCTATTATGCACAAGAAGTTTGCTGGTGAATCATCAAGTTTAATTTACTTCAAAAAATTACGATGCGCATTACAACCTGCCCCGTGCCCGTGCGCACTATTAAATGCAAAAACCAGGCTGATGTACGATTGCACTAACACGACATTACGCATTAAATTTTGATATTAATTTCTGAATTATCATGCAACTTTCAAAGATTCCATTGCCGTATTTTATTTGTCAATAATTGCAGTAATTTATGTTATTCGCAAAACAGTTATAGTGCGCACTATTTGCCGTATGACCCCGATCATACCACTGGGCCCCCCAGTGCACATTGCCGACCGGACCCTTTTCCTTAAATCCGCCACTGATCCGTCAAAAAGTATTTTTTTATTAAGTTTGCTCACAGCTTAAGCGCGCGCGAAGAAGTTTTTCCTACATCAAACTTACAGCACAGGCAACCAGTCTTGCGCTATCATCTATGAGCTTACAGTTGAATCAAAGTTGACGCATGCAGTGCTGCCAGTGTTTAGTAGAAAATACCAGTACGGCATCCATTTAATATGTGTGCAGATTTATCTAAGAGATTTGGAACTTTAAAAATTGGTGGTCGAACTAAATTCGCCTGGGGGGGTCATGACTACCATGACCCCCCCTGGATCCGCGCCTGGTGGGAACAATATGAACCACAACGATAAAAACCCGGATATATCCGGATCAGCAGGGGACCTCGAACATCCGGGCGGGCGCCTCAACAGGGAACCCCGACCGTACTTTGACAGAGGAATCTGTCAAAGATCTGGCTAGAGAGCTCGCTGAAAGGGTGCGCTCTATAAAAATTAAAAACAAATCTCGGACCGGAGCCGAAAAGAAAAGATCGCGGAAGAGGAAAGAGACGCGGATGGCACGGAAGATCGGAGCACCATTTCTGGGACTTTGTCCGATCGGGCCCAACCGCCATTTCCAAGGCAGTTATAACAAGGCTCCATGTCTGTCACACAATCATAACCTATTTCTTGAATCACTTCTGGTGCCATCCAAAACGGAGTTCCCGTGAAATGATGCTCATGTTGCATTTCTATTTCAACAAGATTATTCAAAACTTTAGTGAAAATGTATTCTCATCCCTGAAAAGTGAAGATTTGTCACTTCATTTATGCGACACTGAGGTCAGCAATAGTAGTAGTGGATATTTATTTACTCCATAAAACAACAATAACAATATAGAATAGGTAAACAAGTATTTGTCCACCACAAAATCCAACCCGTACGTCGTCGAGTTCGTTCTGTGGGGCGGCCTTTGATGCTGTACCGAGGGCGACTGTGTAAGGGGAGCACAATATGAACCACGACGATAAGAACCCCGAGGTCCCTCCAAAAGGCTGAAGAGACACAACCCTCGTACACATCCTAGCGCGTGGAGGCTACTGGAGAGGAAGGAGGAACCTAACTGGGGTCCGACTTATTCTTCGATGGATTCCATAAGCTGGAAGATAATCGAGAAGAATGGCAACAGGCTGTGTTGTGGGCAATCCTAAAGTGGTGATCCTAAAGACGGCTCTGGCGCTGGGGTCTTTGGGCCTAAAGCTAGTCTATCACTGCTTCCCAGCGGATACACCACTTCCAGGCGGGAAATCTATGGGAGGATAATGGATAATCTCTAGATATCTCCGACAGGCACGGGAGCTCATCGTGGGGCCCCCTGTTGAGGATGGACGCTTTTGCTTATTTTGGATAGAGCCAACCTAAGGTTGTTACTTACATTTCAAAAAGAAAAAAGAATTACTACTTACGAATTCGAAGTCTCCATCTGAGAAAGGTTTATGATACTGAGGCGAGTGTTTCTGTTCCTGAGGCAACATTTTCTGAGGAGAAGGCGGTGTCTGAGGTGATTGTTGATTCAATTGTACTTGAAAGTTGCTTTGGTACTTCTGTTCTTCTTTCAATTTATTATCAACTTCAGATACGTCGTTTGTAGGACTCGTTGGAGTCGCGACACCATTTGCTTGCTGAATATTTAAATTATTTGGATTAAGAGGCTGCATATATTCAAAATATTGTGTTACAACTCACCTTAATTTCAGCTTCCTTTTTATCAAAGTGATCTAGGAACATTGGCCTATATTTCTTCCCATTCTTGTCTAAGGTGTCGTGTTCTAAATCAAAATATACCAACAGGTATTACAAATGTTAGAAAGTGTCAATGCACTTAACACTACACATTCCAAAACCTGTCAAAATACCGGTTATGAACTTATGCATTCAAAATGAGCATATATTCTTTTGCTTTCGCACGTTTGATTGCATGCTTTTTTCTATTAATTACAGTTAATTATAATGTTAATTTGTTAAATCCTTCCTAACTTCCATATTTCAGAGATTTAGTTAGGAAAAATAAAGTCCGGTCATTTCATTGGCTATGGTAGAAATACTTATGTATCAAGTGTTGGTATGCTTAGTGTTAACTAAAAATTTGGTGATTTCAAAAAACTACCAAGATATATGGCCTTACTTTTCATAGTTTGGTCATCAATATCACTATTTATAACCATGGTGCCTAAATCTGACTCTATTTCTATAAGAGTACCACTAGGGGATCCTGGTACTAAAGTGCCATCTTTATGAGGTGTTAAGGTGCACTCATCTGCTGCGTCAAGCATGGTTTGGTTGCCTATATTCGTTTCTTCATCCTTAAAAACACATCGTTCCCTTATAATAAAGACAATAAAGCATCAAGTATTTTCATTCTCGTATACCGATATTTTTTTCCGATACAACGTGAAGAGATAACATATTGACTTACAGATTCTTCATTAGTATTTTGTTTCAACTGCATATTTGCTACAGAATTCAAGTTCTTGTAGGTTTGATTTTCTCTTATCTCTCTAGCTTCCTGTATCATTGTGCTCAGGATTGTAGGTGACTTGGCATTTCCTGCAAAAATTGTTAACATTGTTAAATTTTTGCTATCTCAGTTGGTGATAACTGTATTGTACCACACACAAAATTAGTCATGCACCATTAGTTCAGACACTGTAGAATAAGATTCTCACTTGGAACAAGAAACACAATCTAAATGAACTAAACTAAAAATTTATTATGGGAGTAAATAAAATCATGAATATTTACATCCTTACCTACAAAGTCATGAGCTAAAAGATCAGTCGCGGTTGCCCTATCTTCTGGATTCTTAATAAGGCAGCTACTAACAAAATCAATAAATTCAGGACTCCATTTATCTGGCTCCCTGAATGAAGGAGGTGGCTTAGTAGGAATCATAAAAATGGCCCTCATAGGGTGAATGTCTCCATAAGGGGGCTTCCCCTCAGCCATTTCCAAGGCAGTTATACCAAGGCTCCATATGTCTGCCACACAATCATAACCTATTTCTTGAATCACTTCTGGTGCCATCCAAAATGGAGTTCCTGTCAAATGATGCTCATGTTATTGTTGCGTGGTCAGAATATGAATGAATTCATTTCAACAAGATTATACAAAACTTGAGTAGTCAAAATGTATTCTCATCCCTGAAAAGTGAAGATTTGTCATTTCATTTATGCGAAATTGAAGTCAGCAATAGTAGTAGTGGATATTTATTTACTCCATATCACAACAATAATAATATAGGATGAGTAAATAAATGTTTTAATCCACAGAAGGACAAAGCCTGTACATGTATCCGTTGTACAGGGTGGGCCATTAAGTTGAGACGATTTTAATAAATCATAGAAAACAAACTACAAAGCGTAGCCAAGGTAATTTATACAGGGTGTAAAGGTTATGGTAGTCATTACTGAAACGGGTAATAGGGGGGGTCAAAACAAGTCAAAAAGTTCATATGACCCATGGTCCAAAAGTCAATAGATTTTTGCCTAAATGGCTTTATAGTTTACAACTTTAAGAGCTTTGTATCGACCACAATCACCACAATCTTACTAATTTTTATAATCTAATCTAAAACGTTTTTAAATTGGGTAATTAACAAATAAATGGCATCAAGTTTTTCTAAGTTAAACCAAAATTTGTAGTCAGTTAGTAAGTAAATAATTAACAAATAAATGGCATTAAGATTTTCTAAGTTAAGCCAAAATTTGTAGTCAGTTAGTAAGTAAGTTTCATTAAATTAAATATTTAATACACACATGACAACAGCGCGTCGGTCTTTCATCACTCTTATCGAACCGGCAATCGATCGCAAACGGTAACAATGGTTAGTTATCGTTTTGCATAGATAAATTACTTTATCGTTTTGTCGAGCAGAGCATCGGGCGTGTTGTTTTGTTTTTGTTCGCGTACGTCGTCGTGTTTATTTACAAAGTTCTCGAATCAATAGTTCGCGGACATGTTGTTAGTTTACGGTGAAGCTCGTCAGTATGCAAATCTTGCAGCTCAAATTTATCGCGACAGATTTCGCCAACGGGTACACCCAGACAGAAGGATATTTGTGCAAGTGTACCAAAGACTTCGAGATACAGGAAGTGTTCAGCCCAATAATATTCGCACTCGTGAAAGACAGGTTACTGTAGAGCACGAGGAACAAATTTTAAATATCGTAGAAATCAATGCAGATATCAGCACTCGGGAATTAGGCCACCGCGTAGGACTATCGCAAACCATAGTCCATAGAATCCTATGAGGTTTAGGGACAGTTATGTGTGATTTTATCGCGTTCACTGACAACTTTGTGATAATGGCTGATAGCATGTAAGAAATAAAGTTGATATCAAATGATTTTGTCTCATTTCTGGAATATAATTTTGATTTTCCGAACATAGTTTTCAGAACAGTTCTCTGTAAAACTTCTATATCATTTAAATATGCTGGACCCCATGCGAATATGCTATAAATTAGGTGCGGCGCAATGAAGGCATGATAAATAGTACGCATATAATTTTCTGTCAACATGCACGTGAGGAATTTAATTTTCTCTATAACTCCCACCTCAAATGTTGGTAACATGTATGAACTAACATCACACTAACAGAAATGAGTTTGTATTAATGGACGAATCTCACCAAGAAAAAGTATTTGTTATCAACATGGTACTTACCAATCACAGTATTTCTTTTGGCCATAGTATCAGTCAACTGTCCAGCAACCCCAAAGTCCGCCAATTTGGCATGACCTTCAGAGTTCAACAATATATTGCCGGCTTTTATATCCCTATGTATTTTCCTTCTAAGATGAAGATACTCCAATCCTTTCAAAGTGTCACAGAGGATTGTAGCAATTTCATCTTCAGAAAGGGTTTTTTTGCGTAGACGCATTATATCCGAGACAGACCCCGCTCCACAATATTCCATGACTATCCAAAGATCTGTATTTTTGAAGTAGCTCCCATAGTATTTGACTACATATGGACTGTCACATTGTTGCATAATGGAGATTTCTTTGATAATCTCTTGAAGATCTGTATCAACAGGTACTTGTTTTATTGCTAATACTTGGCCCGATTCTTTGTGTAAAGCTTTATACACACTGCCATAGCTTCCCTCGCCTAGTTTACATATTATGTCAAACACTTCCTCAGGCTGGCGAGTTAGGTTTTCTTCAGACAACTTTTTCAATTCACTGGAAGATGCATAAAATGTCAAATATTATTTCGAAAAGGATGCTGTATCATTATTCGTCGATCGTACAATGCCAACGGCATGTCATATGGAGGTAGATGGTAATAAGGGAGCAACTGAGTGTGCCAAAAAAAGTAGCTGTTCTGTCCCTCATTGGACCTGGAACCAGTGGCGCAGCTACCTTGGGTGACACCCGGTGCGGAAGTTGGTGGTATCACCCCATCGAAAGCCAAAAGCAAGAAGTTTTATATAATTTATAAACAATAAAAACTGAAACAGAAAAAAATATTTTTATCCTACAATTAGAATCTCTTCTTTCTAGCTTTGACAGCTGCAAACTTCATCAAAATTTATATTTTTTATTGCCTCCTGTTCGATGGCTAATATACCAAGATTGATAAGCCGCGATTGCGTGATTGTTGCCCGCAAATAGTTTTTAATTATTTTTAGTTAAATGAAACACCTTTCACATGAAGCTACGGACAAGCAAACTGTCATGAACAATTTTAGTGCAATCATAAGATTTGGACGAGATTCTGTAAAATTCTATTCTACAATAAACTTTGAAAAATCTTGAGATAGCCAATCAGAAACTGTAACATAAGCGGCTTTTAAGTGTCTTCGCAGTCTTGGTATCTCCGAAAATAATTCTGTTTCTGAGACCTCATCAAAAAAATCAGTAAATTTGGATGTAGCTAATTTCAGTTCTTCAGTATTCACCAAAAGCAAAGTATTTCTTTGTACGTTCTCGAACACCGAAGATACTTCGATCGTGTCTGGAGTTCAACTTTGAATCGGTCGAAGATCTTCTTTCAGTGTGAGTCCTGCATGACTGGCCATCTCAACAGATGAGAAAAGATGCAACTGAGACGTCAAGGATCGCGATTATCGGACGGGGAATCCCAAACGACAGCGTGGAGCGTTTTTGGGGGAATCCCCGAATTATACATAGAGCTGAGCTGGTGCTTGTGGAGGAATCACCGAAGAAAAGACAGCTGTACTAGCGATTTATTTTTTTTATGTTGAGTCACCGGGTGGGGTTCACGTCAAAAAAGGTGACACCCGGTGCAGCCCGCCCCCACCGCTGCCTCCTTGCTACGCCACTGCATGGAACCAGCTTGCGGCATCTCGTATAGACTTGCTCGACCCCATCTCTCGTTGGGTGTATCAGATCAGCACCAGAGGTGGGGCAGGGTAGTAGGGTACACTCAATCTAAGGAAATGCCATCTGGAAACATCGCCTCACCCCGTACCTGACCGCACGACGCGGCACTGCGCTACAGCGGCAGTAATGCCAGAACACTTATCAAGGCCGCTCTGTGAATACAAAGAGCAGAAGCAGAAATGCGTGTCGAAAACATTTCTCGATAATTCCAAGTTGTAAGGGCAAATGTACAGGGAAACTTAAGATGCGTAAAATTAAAATGAATCTGTAGAATTAGCGAGGTTGGAAGTGTATAAACATACTAACATCAAAAGATGGAGATATATCCTCCTCATCCTACAACTCCCAACCCCCAATCTTTAACAACTACAAATATTTTTCTAAAAATGATCAGGAGCCTCTATCTAAAACGTCAAAAAAAAAGTTCGAGCGATTCCTATTTTTTTCTTCATTTTTTGACCTGTAGCACCATCCCCTCTGTATAGATTTGCAAAGCTTTTTTTCGTCCTTGTGTTTTGTGCATGATATTTGAGATTTTTAAGATGTCATTCCCTACAAAAATTGCTTCTCCCTGCTTTTCGAAAATTTGAGGCTAATACATAATCATAATATACCAACATTTTTTGTTTGCCATAGTCTTATTGCAGCAGGGATTCTCCGAAATGCCAAAAAATTAAGTTCGAGCTATTTTAATTCCCCACACAAAGCTAATACAATCTCAGCTCTCACCTTGAAAATGACAGAAAGGTTCCTACACCTTCTGGCTTATAACAGCTAGATGTCACCCCCCATTATTAAAACAGACGACCTGTCAAGCAGTCAGAAAACAAGGTATTCAGAAAGCTACACTCAATGGCATCGTATGCATAAATGCATAGACACAGACTGAACTGAATATGCTTGTTTTCCATCTCTATAACCATGACCAACTGCAGACAGTGCTATTTCATGCTTTTAAGCACTCATCAGTATGGTATAGGTCTAGTCATGGAGACAGGCAAACCAGTGGGTACAGTCTGTTGAAAAAACTCTATCTGTAAATAGTGCAAATGTTGAGCAGTTCTAAGCCAGAAGTAATAGGGGTCTTTCAATATATGGGTTAAGGATGAAACCAGCTTGGCAAATCATTGGTCAGTTGTGATTGCCAGATTTCCCACTTACACACAATGTTTTGAATTTTTCAAAAAACCATACCCACTTGTTCACTTTCCCATGTGTCTGTCCCCAAGTCTAGACCAATAATACACTGATGAGTGCTAAAGAGCATGAAACAGCATTGTACACAGTTGGTCATTTTTACAGAGATAGAAAGCAAACATGTCCAGTTCAGCCTGTGGATGCATAGTGTAGATGTCAAACAGTTCTAAGCCAGAAGATATATGACACATTAGTAGGTGGTGATCATCAGATTTCTCATCTACTCATTTTTCATGATTATAATACTTCAATGATTTCCAAGGGATGTGAAATGAACTTGACAAGTTTCAAGTTTGTATAATATTTCATGTAATACCCTATTTGAGAGTTCTCTTTTTGCTATTTGAATGGATATAATATTACCCAGATTCTGTCACTCTTAACTATTTGGTATACTATATTTTATCATAGTTATCCTTCAATTTTACACATAAATGTCTTGCAGCCAATTTAGAGTAAACAAAAGTTTCATTCAGTACAATAAATTTAGTCAGGTCTTTGCTCTGATCATTGTCAGGACCTCTGCTTCATTTATTTTTATATGCTCATGTATTTCTACTCAAAAGAATATATTACAGAACTTCATCTAGAATGTTTATTTTTGCTATTAGAACCTCATTACTAGCCACCTCTTGAGAATTTAATGAAACAAAAGGTGGGTTAATAATAAGTTCAGTGACTATGTAATTTGTTAAATCAATTATAACTTCCTTTTATGAATGCATTTAAAGTTTGCTGGATCTTGCATTTATCACCAAAAATAACAATAATAGGTTATCTTCTTAGTATTCAGTAACATCTATATTGGGTGATAATGATTTTACCAGTATAGAATGTGTCACCTACCTTTTGGAAGACATCGTATGCTCTACGGAGGATTGATGTAGCAAGAAAATAAATTAAACAAATATATCATGTTTAACGTTTAACAGAAATTTGATTCTTTTTCAACTCAAAACTCCATGTTAGTTCCGAATTTTTCACAACACAAAACATAAACATTCATAACTTGACACAGAACTATTTCCATTCTGACAGATGACATTTGCACAAGGCTCAGTATAGAGATGGTGATGGGTTTCCCTATTTCGATATCGAAATCCGATAATCTGTAAATCTTTGGTCAACTGGTCATGCTATAACCACGGATACATGGATTATAGTTATATATACAAGGTTTGTCCGGAAAGTAATAGGACTCATTTTCTTCCGCCATGACTGTACTTCGGAGCGTGCGCGCACCGACTGGATTCGGTAGAGGGCGTTCTTAGCTAACGAATGAGCGGCTGGTCAGTTGTCTCCGAGCACTTGGAGAGTCAGGACAGGCATTTTCGCGCGACGTGTTTCTATGAGTGGTGCAAGCCGAAAATGCAGCGTTCGTTAGAGCAGAGGTACGCGATTAAATTCTGTGTGAAACTCGGTAAATCTGCGACAGAGACGTTTGATATGATCAAGCAGGCTTACTCAGGTGCTGCTTTAGCAGGACGTGGCGTGTTTCGGTGGCACCATGTCTTTTTGAAGTGCCGGGAAGAGGTCGCTGATGAAGACCGTGCTGGAAGACCTTCGACTTCGACAAACACCGATAATGTGACTAATGTGCGCAAAGTTTTGAACTCAGACCGTCGACTAAGTATTCGTTTAATTGCCCAGATGTTAAATTTACCAAAATCTGTGGTTCATGACATTGTGACACAGCATTTGAACATGCGCAAGGTGTGCGCGAAGATGGTCCCAAAAGTGCTCACTGACGACCAGAAATTGCGGCAAGTGGAAGTGTGCCAAGAAAATTTGAACATGTGTGAAAGTGACCCCCAATTTTTGAATAACGTACTCACAGGTGACGAGTCGTGGATCTTTGAGTATGATCCCGAGACAAAGAGGCAATCTTCCGAGTGGCACACGACGGCGTCTCCTCGCCCAAAAAGGGAAGAATAAGCAAATTCAAAGTGAAAACGATGCTCATTGTCTTTTTTGACGTCAAAGGCATCGTCCACCATGAATTTGTTCCTCCTGGACAAACCGTCAACGCCAAGTTTTACGTGGAAGTGCTCAGGAGACTCAAACGAAGGGTCAGTCGGGTGCGACAAGACATCGCAGCCGACTGTAAGTTGCACCACGACAACGCCCCGGCTCACACCGCCTTTCTTGTGAACAGCTACCTGACCAAGGCCGGCATCCCAACGTTTCCGCAGCCGCCCTACAGCCCAGATGTGGCCCCCCGGACTTTTTTTTGTTTCCTCGCCTGAAAAGGCCGAAGAAAGGCAAGCATTTTGAGACGACAGAGGGAATCCAAGCAGCATACACCGCGGCTCTCAAGGCTATTCCGGAGAATGCCTTCCGTGACGCCTTCAATTCTTGGAAATCGCGGAAAACCCTGTATATATATATATATATAGATGTTTAGGTAGAGACATATAGGGTGTCCCGAAATTGAAGGATGACCTACTAGATGATGGAATTTATTTTTAGTAAAAGTCTTATAGTTTTCGTGATTTTCGGTATTCTATATTATTTTTTTTTATAAGCTGGCGTAGTCAGTTAGTCCCGCACCATCTCTACAAATATCAGCTTTTTGTATCAAGTTTGTCTTAAAACGCTCAGAATTAAGCATTTCATGCCGTCCATTATTATTTTTCCTTAAGGTGGCGAAAAACACAAAAGTCATGCCAAAGTCTAACTTTTTATTAACACCCGTTTGTACGTCTGACTTTGACATTCTGTAGAGTGAGAGGATCAAGTACGATCACTGTGCCAATTTGTAAAAAAAGTTAGCCAACTGTTGGCAATTTTTAAATGGTATCATTGACATACGCACTCTGCTGATTTTTGTGTTTTATTGCAGTTATTGCAGAGCCAGAACACCCCGGCTGCTATGAGGATCCCAAAGAAACTTTGTTAATTCGATTTTTGAACTATGTAAGTTAAAGAAGTCTAAGAACTAGGAAAAGCATCCTCTTGTACTATAGATTGTTCCACAATCACACCCTAAGTACGAAGGAGCGGCCGTATCGGCCAACTGGATGTACGAAATTCGACGCGATTATGGGGTGCCGAAGTCAGGCGGGTCTGTTTGGCAGCGCAGCGGCATCATGTTATGTGGGTTTTTCACCACCGTAAGGAAAAATAATATTGGACGTGATGAAATTCTTAATTCTGATTGGTCAAAAAAACCTGGTAATAAAATGTTGCTATTTGTAGAAATGGCGCGGGATTTTTTTTTATACTCCAACTACCACGAAGGCCTAAGGCCTAAGCACCCATTGGGTACCGTACCGGGATTAAGCCAGTTTTAAGAAAAAAATGAATGCCGAAAATCTAGAAGACTATGATACTTTTACTAGAACAAAATTTTACCTCTAGTAGATCATGATGTGACGTATCTACAGTTGCAGAATTATCCTTCAATTTCGGGCCACCCTGTATGTGGTAAGCGGCGGCCAACCTATGTCGGATCTTGTTTAGGCATGAGGAACTAAAATAACTGGTATTTGTATACATATACTTTTATTATTTCCTTTTTCATTGACATTGACTTTTGTGTAGTTATGGCCCCTAAAATAACATTGCAGGTGCATCTCATTTTAAATAAAAATAAGACTGTCCGATTTCGGGTATTGGAAATAATAATATGAAGCTGTGTTTGAGATATACTTTATTCTCGAACGATCTACCTTCAATTGATGAATGAGCGCTTATATACGGGTATTAGGGAAATAATATTCGTAACTTTAATTATTCTGAGCAAAAAAAGTTCATTATAATCCATGTCCGAAAATCAACCGTTTCGGAGCAAAAAAATGATGTACTTATTTCTTTTTAGCCATGAAAAAAATTAATTTTGCACCTTGATAATTTAAATTCATATGCCTAATAACGTAAAATGTATCTATACATCTATTATTATACAGGGTGACTTCGAAGTTGAGTCATTTATTTTAACAGTGAGTAGATCTGATCAAAAGAAATGTTTTTTTCCTTTACCATTTTTCTGGTAAAATTAAAGTAACAAAGTTATAGCCCTTTGGAAGTTTGAGTACCGCCCTGCCTATTATATGCTCGTGTTTGGCGACAACGGATATAATCCGCCTGACCGGTTCATCGCATCGGAAACAAAAAAGCGAAAGAATTTGAAACGTTTATCACGATGTTTTTCGTCAGTCGATAACGCGTAAGTGAATAGTAGTGTGTTGCGTGGTTCAAACGAAATAAAAAATGGCACATGTTTACGAAAATGCTGAACTTGTGGACATGATTGTTATTTACGGGTTGGCAGTCTTTACAAAATGCTCCCGGATGCATCACGGATTTATGCGAATCGGTTTCCCAATCGAGTGCAACCAACCCCTCGTGCCTTTGTTAATGTAGTACAAAGGGCTCGTGAATCAGGTGACTTAAGACCTCACAGGTGAGGGCATGCTGCTCCAAGACCGCACGATCAAATACAGGTCCGCACTGAAATACTTGTCGGGAGGATACTTTATTAAACAAGGTAACATTTTTTTTTATTTTTACACACATATTTTGGTTTATCTTCCTTCTACAATCATTATCTGAAAATTAATGACTCAACTTCAAAGTCACCCTGTATATTATTAACTGTCTCTAACAAAATAATTTTCTTGCCTATTAAATACAATTTTCCGAAGAAAAACAAACAAAATCCCTCGCACAACTGGCAATGTCGTACTCTGCCTGCACTGCATGTATAATCGCGACCGACATCGTGTCGATAGGCAAAAAATAAATACCTACATCGGGAAAAAAGTATTTGATAGTTTTTTGCATACGTTAATGCAAATAATGTTTACCCGAATTGAAATCACATTTTATTATTCAGTATGTATTACTGTATCAGAGCGTGCATTTTGATACGAAAGAGATGTTTTCGGCACGCGAGTATTACGATAATATGCTTATTATTTTCGGAGAGGCTCATCGCAATTCTGAAGAGGCTAGGCGCATTTACGAAGAACGTTTTCCTGATCGAAGGCTACCAGCTAGAAGAACATTCGTAGAAGTATCCCAAAGACTTCTGGACACAGGGAGCGTAGTGCCTAATTTTAACAATCGCGGAAGACATCCTGAAGTTGGAGTGGAAACCGAAGAACATCTATTGTGATTACTAACACAGTTAACTGTAACTTTGTGATTTACGGATTTTCTTTTCTTTTTTCGTGCATCGCATCGTTTCAAATAAGTGACTGGTAATCGTGGGAATTGGTGGTGTGTATCGCCATGTGCCGGTAAGTTCTGTCATTTTTTTTAAGTAAATGTACTGCACTGAAAGTGTTATTAAATAAAAAATGTTATCCACAAGAAATTGCGTAAAAGTATTCAATAATTCAAGGCATATTTTCAAAAAAAAACATCATATAAACGTAAGCAATTCGATGAATCAGTTGCGGTCGTCGTCCGCTAGTATCGCGGTTCCGTTGCAGTGTTGCCAAATGTTTGAAAAAATTTCATTATTTACTCGAAAACGATTGATTTTCGGACATAAGCTATAATGAACTTTTTTGCTTAGAATAATGCAAGGAATCACTTCTTAAAGTTACGAATATTATTTCCCTAACATCTTGTATATATGGTAACATAAGGAACATGAACAAGATGCACAGATATTTTGAAAACAAAGAATAAAGAGTCTTATTTAGTAACCCCAATCTACATCGTGGTAAATAGTTTAGTGGCAATGACTCTTGGGAAGCGATAGGTGTTTTGAATAAGAATCTCCCAATAAGTATTTGAGAATATCTACACACGATTTCTATCAAATTATCTCAAGAAGTTCCTGATGTTGTTTCAAGTTGCTGATATATTTTACATAATACTAAGTTTGTACAATACGGTTTCAACACAAATAAAACAAGATTGCCAACAGCTTATTTTTAAAGCTAAGTATTCTAATAATACTTTCAACGGGAATAATATCGTTTTTACAATTTCATGGCATTTTAAGATAGGTTTCTTTACAGTTCTGCGATGGCAGTACATGTGATGGTTGCTTCTCCTAGAGATGATATTGAGATTGAGACGATTTCAAAACTAAGCTACTTTTTGTGAAATTGATCTGACACACTCAGCTGTATACATATGATCCGTAAAATGTGCTGACATCAACATAAATTTTTTGTGAAGCTATATATTTTTTGTAGGTGAAAATACTGTGATAATGGGTTGCCTAATTGGAGTTTGTTTTAAAGATGTATAAAAATAGATTTTTGAAAAATAGGTATTTCTCATTTTTATCGTTATTATGGAGATGTCAGACCAACTTATGATATTAAATCAAACAATTTTTTTTATACGTCTTCATTAAGAACACTTAGTCTAGATCCCATTTACATCAACAACACTTTGTATATTCCTTCTTAACATGCTTGGAATTCATGGGTTATTTGAAAATTTATTTGATAATAATGAGTCAATCTACTTGATTCAAATGTTTTCACTAAATTTTGGCTGCTAGGAGAGAACGATTTTAGTCCTACTCTTTATACCCAAAAAGTTCTCTATACACATTGAAACTAGGCACGTACTTAACTTTGCCTCGGAAGATTGCACATAGACATCTCGATATTGTACCTTTGGCACTTATTGCAGGCATCGAGAACTACTAAAAAGCTTTCATATGAACAGATCTTTCGACTAAATATCTAAACTGATGAGCATTAGAATATTTCTGGATCGGTATATTGTCTACCCCAATACTTCCCGTTAAAAATCCAATCTTCTTGCTTGTTATACGGGTTAATTCCTTGATCAAACCACCTGGAAAAAATCAAAAATAACATATACAGGATTGCCACAGACTCATTGAGGTCCCGTGGATAACGTGTTCGAGCGAGATAGAGAAACACGCAGCAGCGGTTGCCGCAGTAGTAGACTCTTCGGTCTCTTGATCAGTCGTCGGGCGCTGTGCGGGTTCGAGTCCCGTCCCAGGAGAAATTTTTCTCTTCGCTATGGATGTTGTGATTGTCCGTAGGTGGTAGATGGTCTCTGACTGTCAAACGTGGAGGTACCACCCGGCGGATCTCGTAGGCGGAGCCAGAATGTGTGCATGTTGCATGCACACGTGTTTCCTCGCCAGAGTCCGTGTGGCGTCCCCCCTTTCCCCTGTATCCCCCTATAGCCCCACGGTACCCAATGGGTGTTTAGGCCTTAGGCCTTCGTGGTAGTTGGAGTATAAAAAAAAAAACGTATGATAGAGCGAGAGCCCAAATGAAGCGTCCACACTCATTGTGCATGGTGGCGAGCGGTCCAGAACGCTTCATTCGTGACCTTTTTCTAAGCTGTGTTTCCTTCTCTATCTCGCTCGTACACATTAAATACAAGGCTCCAATGATTCTGTATGTATATTCAAGTATCAAAATGAAAGAAAGTATCATAACTTATAGTAAGCTCGTGCAAATTTGTATTGTGTATGTGTACGATACTTAACGCCATACTCTATTCCGTTGGCACTTAACTGGTGAATAGCTATTGGTAGTTATAAGAAGCACCATTTTTGAAGAGAGCGATACAACCGCGTTAATTATCCTTTACCTTGGTTTCCATTCGATTTTTTTGGTCTTCATATTCTTATTTGCAGCCCTTTGTTTCTCTTCTAATCTAGTTTTTTCGATTGCTGCACCATCAATGTCTCCCTGTTCCAATTTTCTAATGTCTGGCCTCAATCTTGAGTCAGTTGGGCAAAGGGTTTTCTCCATGTCAGTCTCCAGCTCGTTTAAGGACATGGCAAACTCGGTGAATTGGTAATACTATGGGAATAGAAAATGATACAGTCGACGTTGTAGTTTCACAGTCGGTTTCTAGGTTAATGGTATGCATCGTAATAGAATAACATATAGCAACTGTCTGTTGGTTTGTCTGTATGTCCCCTTTTGGAGCATGTACTGCTCAGATTTTGATGAAATGATTACGCTAGATTATTACTATGCCAAGGATAAAAAATCTTTATAATTTTTTAAAAGCGATCAGTGGACTGAAAAATTGAAAATCGCACAAAGTTCCATTTTTAACGTTTGAAAACTCCCGCCCATTTTTGCGAATTTTTTGAGGAGTGAAAATTGGTTGTGGGGTGTTGTAGGAGGTGGGGAGGATATATATACATATGCTTTTTCATGCTTCTCAGCGCTCATCAGTACAGTATATGTCTATTCTTGGAGACAGGCAAACTGAACGCAAATAAGTGGGTAAGGTATCTTGAAAAACTCAAAATAAGCACATGTTCAAAGGACTTACATCACTGCTATGTTGTGGCCTTGGATTAACTTTCCAAATCAACGTAGAGTTTGGAATATCAATAGAATACGCAGAATCACTTCTTGGAACAGACACCTCTGGTATTTCAGTTGGATCATCCATACTCTAAAACGAGTCGTAAATGATGATTCCAAAACCTGTTCTAATTTCATGCTTACCTCCGCAACTGACATTGATTTGAATGAGCTTAGTTTCAAGCTATTAAGCTTCTGGAGAACTTTTTTTGATGTATGTGAAGGTGAATCATTGGGACTTTTTGAGGATTTTGAGTTGCATGAGTGATGTTTTGATCCATTTTCTTTAAGATATTCTTCGTAGGAGTTATTGTCTGTACATTTCAGGAATTCGGTCCACTTGCCATACAGGAAAAACTGTTTATGTTTTCTAAAACGGTAAAATGTTACTTATGTGCAAACGCAAGATATTAATACCATTGGTCTAAAAAGCTGTCCGATAAAAACCATTTAGGCCGTATTTTACTGTTGATCCGCGGAAATCAAAATGTTTTTTTGAAGTAATGGCTCTAATATGGTCGATTTTTTGTAAGATATCTCTCAAATTAGAGACAAAGCATACGATTTGTGTGTGAAATAAGAAATATATCACCTAGTCCATCTACAAAAAACCTATATTTTCATTTGGTCTCGGATACAAATTTTGCGGCGCAGACCCAAATTCAACCAATGAAAAAGAAGGGTTTATGTGTATTTTGTTGAAAATATTATAATATTATCCGACAGATAATTTTGAGAAAAGCGTATATTTTCAACATTGAGTTGCCGTATAATGTAGTTTGTTGAACGACTGTTTCCCGCTATAGCTTGCACACTGTCTGGGTCTGGGCGATATTTATTTATAAGATAAATACTTGCAATTATACTATTTATAATGAAGGTATGCAAGTGTTCTTTCTTCGTTTTAGATACAACCCTGATCGCATTGTCTCCTGCGCCTGCGTCGACTTGTCGTCACGACTCGGTGGGGTTCGGTTCCAGCGACTTCATAAGTGCTTCATAGCATGGTAGCCAGACGTGGCGAGTTTTTGCCAAAGTGCGATTTAACGGCTTCTAATGGTGATTAAAATGGATAGCTTGGCGATTGGCTACTTTAGTGGGCCCAGTATCCAGAAAACTGGCGATATCGCACGATTTCTGACCTTGTATGGTTAGACTACTTGTAATTACTGTAATACTGTAATACTAGGATCGGCGATTTATGGGCATTGTCTCATCAGAACTTGGCGTCCAACGCGACTGAAAACCTGGCAACCCAGCTTCATAGTCAAGGCGCAGTCCAGTAGAGGGTGCGAGTCATGTCTATACCGCAGGCGTAGAGGACACCGCGATCAGGGTTGTACTCAGAAATAAACCCCTCGTTAGACGAAGCATGAAAAGTTGTAAGATTTGAATTTGACTGACGCTTTGAGTTCAATGGATAAGAGAAGTATGTCAAAGGACATATATTCGAAACAGATAGAAGCTTACACATTTTTGAATTGCGAAGAATCTGTTTAGAATGGATTCTGGATTGGTCCTAACCGCGATCCATTTTAGGTCGAAATGAAAGGTCAGGAGTGCTATTAGCGTTTCTTTTTGAATACCTGTATGCCACCCACTCTTGTTAACGACTTCACATCAAACGCTGTATTTCATATTTTCGTTCATGACTGCCTATTTGAAAGGTTATGATAAAAAAAGTTGTGTATGATGTATTAACAAAAGCCTTTTTTATTTGAAATTCTGTTGTATGGGAATTGGTATAGGGAATATGACATGACTCATCTGTCCACCGTGGGCTCGGATGGCGGCACGGATTCAAGGAGTTCAAGTTTTAATAACCCTTCTTCTACGTGTTAGCAAGATAGTTATCCAAAAATTAAGAAATATGGAACTACGTCGTCGAAGCGGCTTCTAGAGCAATTTTCAATGTACTTCATGTATGAAAATGGATTCCGATGCGAAATCTCGAGCCCCACACGATATGTGATTGGTATTTAAATTCACAAACTTGACCTCCAAATAACCTTTGAGGTGGAGGAAGAATTTGAGTGGTATTTTACAAGAAATCAGCCATATTTATTAGATCCATTAGTTCATAAACGCCTTCTCTCTGGTCGAATTTGTGCCATAGCCGCAAATTATGTGCACCTAACAGTAAAATCGGGCCTTAGGTACACAACTGGTCAAAATTCTGTTTTCTACTTACTGTTTATCAAAAATGAATCCTTCGACTCTATGTAGGTCTTTACCATTGCTCCCAGCTTGCTTGAACGTCAGTTGAGCTCTTTGTCCAGAAGCATGACTACATATTTCCATAGTGCCAACTTGCTCCATCCAAAGCTTACCTACTATCAGATTGTGTACACAGCACTGGACGTTACTCCAAGTATAAGCATCTTTCAACCTAAAAAAAAATTACCACTATAGTTGAAGAATTGACAAACTATGCAACTTCACAGGCTAAAAAATCTGTGTTCATAATCGATACAATTAGTCAAATTTTGAATATGATCCATGAAAGGTATCGAGAAGGCCACCGCGGCCCAGTAGTTCAAAAACCGAAAAACCTGGGCAAAAACCCAAAAATTTGTTTTCTCTTTCGACTCCAAATTCTGGTCACAGTTACAGGGATGCCAAATTAATCTCTTGGTGAAATTAGTTCCACTTAGATGGCTCTGCATGCGGAATTATAGTGATTATTATAGAGTTAACTGCAATATAGAGATCGTTTTCCTCTACTTATTTTTTAAACGGGGAAAGACAAAGCTGAAACTCGAGTTGACAAAATTAATGCATGGTTACTACATTTTGGCGTAAGAGTCGCACTTATAAATTTTAAGAAGACGGTTAGACGCCATCTTGGAAGACTTTCTGAATTTGGATGAGTGGTAATGTCGGAATATCAAAAATATCTTCACAGGACAGAACAACATTCTCTAGCAACAGTCAAAGTTGATTTGATTTAATTTCGATAATTCTTATAGGATTATAAGAGATACCGAGAGACAAAAAGGATGTATCATTAGCTGCTTAATCCAAAAAGTATATATTTGTTTAGAAAGTCAGTGGCGTATATGTTTTTGTTAATGCTAACTTAGCGTCTCATTGCAATGAACAAAATTCAAAATAAGGTCACGGATATTTGATATAGTAATAACAGACCAATTTTTGTCTTGTTTATATCACATGTTTATTTGAACATTTCCACACAATTACGTCCTATCTTTGAGTAACACCCTATATAAATATGAAATATATTGGCATTGTCATTTTAATCTGTACTTTGAAAAAGGCCACCGCGGCACAGTAGTTCAAAACCTCAAAAAACCCACAAATTTGTTTTCGCTTTCGACTCCAAATTCTGTTCACAGTTACATGCCAAATTGATCTTTTGCTGAAGTTAGTTCACTTAAATTGCTCTGAATGCGGAATTATAGTGATTATGCATTATACAGTAAATTGCAAAATAGGGATCGATTAATTTTTTAAACGGGACAAGCTAGAAAGCTGAAACTCGATTGCATGTTACTATATTTTGGCGTAAAAGTAGCAGTTATATATATATATATTCTTAATTGGGATAAGTGGTAATGTGATAGCTCATTTTGCAGCTCCTTACGCATACTTCATAGCCTCAAAATATAAATTAACTGTCTTTCAAAATAGCGGACTGGTATACTGTCAAAGTTGACCATTTTGTCCGTTGAATCACCAACATGCTGTGGTATTGTGAAGAAAACACCGTTACTACTGTCCAAAGTCTGATTTATTACCTTTACACTAATTTATAACACCTGTACTAATTTATAACCTTGTTGACTGGACTACGGCTTCCGCGTCTGGCTCCATTATGTCTTCCGCGCCGCCCGCCGTCGGCGCAGCATCTTTTGTGCTTGAAATCGGCCAATCCTATAGCTCCTTCGTCGAAATTCCATACGATGCTACTCGATACCTCTCGAACTGCCCCGAAATCGGCTAACGCTCTCGAACGTGAGCTGAGGCTCCTTAATTAGGCCATAATTGTCGAGGCCCAGCCGCGTAACTTTGGTTGCCTACCGTGGAAACTGCAGGGCCACTCAAGGTCCTAGTTACGACGGCGTTACAGTGGCGTTACAGTATGTTATGTGAAATAAGGCATAGGATATTCTTAATATATAATGTATAATATAAAAATGGTAGTTTTTGTCAAGCATTTAAAGGGAACGCTACATATTTTATTACATATCCGGATAGATCCTTCCAAAAGAACATCGGCATATCATAGTATAGCGTTTTGATGGTACTCTTGCAAACTGATTCATCAGTTGTAACCAAATCAAAAATAAATTGTGTGAAATCCAAGTACAGAGCTGAAATAGTGAAACGTAAGCAGGATGCACACGATGTGTATATAAACTCATCGAGTAATAAACAGAAAGCGATGTGGAATATTATAAAAGCCAACATAGGCACCTGTCGTGAAAAAAGTCACTACAATATTGGACACTAACCAATTTAATTCATTTTTCACCACCGCTGATACCAACATCTCCACTGTCAGCCTATTTTGAAAATCCCATTCCAACGTTTCCTACATGATAGCAAGTAAAGGGAATTAATTCTAAATAACCAATAATATTTTGTGAAAGATAAAAAACCACGAAAGACCCGCCAACTACTAGCCTTACACCTAGCAGACCCTCCGTAGAATATTCTGCAGACGATAATCGTATTGGTTGGCCAATCAGCGTCAAACATTTTTTGTGAGACTATTTCTGTTTACTGATAAGAGCGTTCCAACCAGTTTTTGCTATTTTGCGAGAGAAGTGGGTAGAAAATAAACTCTTCGATTTGTATTGGTGGATTTAGTATGTTTCTCATTTATTTGCATTTTGCAGCTATATTTTGCGTAATGGTTACAAATCAGCCATTTCTGTGTGACTAATTCTTTTTGCCGATAGGAGCACTGGAAAAAATCGTTTGAACTCCTCGATTTTTATTTCGAGGTAAAAATCTTTTGCAGCTATTTAGTATTGTAAAAAAACACGATTTGTTCAATCAATGTGTACTGCCTAACCTTCAATTTCTGTTACTCCGTCTTTAATGGTTCTCTGCATATTTCGTCAAGTAGAACGACTCAGTACTTATGACGTTTTGTTATACAAGAGACATGAACTGACAAACCGACATAAATGAGAAATACGGACTTATGTGATGCAGATATCTTTGGGCAACTTGTGAACCGAAGATCGAATATTATCGGAGGAGGAGCAGGAGGAAGTATACAGTCAATCTTCTTGAAGCCATTTTTTCGCAGTAGTCATGCTGACACAATTTAATCTCTCTCGACTCTGTCTGTGGAGATAACGTCTGTCAAACAATCCGCAGATGATTAATGGCTTCTGTATTCAGACTTTGCCTTCTGATCTGCTTGATCATTAAAAAAAAACGATACTTTAAGAATACTTCACAACAATTTGACAACATGTCACACCTGAATAATAAATATAAAGTATTTGTGTACCAACATAACGCGCAAAACTCATTTTTGGATCCGATTCAAAAATCGAAAAGGTGCGACAAAGATGCAATCCAAAGAGCCATCTTTTTTGTGCCTTACTCATTTATGTTATTTTCTGACAAATTAATCATGGCCTCCTTAGAAAAAAAAACTAATAGATAACATTACATGTGATGATATTTCGGTGATACTCCAATCTTTTATGCACTTGTGAGACATCACGAGACAGGAAATTACACACTCTTTTCAAAAATCCAATATGGCGGCGATAAGAAAAATGAAAGTTGAGGCGGGTTGCTACCTTATTTTTCTTAAAAAATGTCACATTTTGATAGCTATCAAATTAACCGTTCTGGATTTACTGGCAAAAAACAAATTCCGCCATTTTCGGTTTTTCGAACTGACCGATCGTAAATCTGAAGCCGGCATAGAAAGCACTAAGTTTCCTCTAAAACCTGCCCCATTTAACGTTTGCTGTAGGTATAACAGGAGCCGAAATCCCTGTATAGAGAGGCGAATCTGCATATACAGTGTGTATATGCACCAGGTAGTGTCATGATCTTAAGTTTGATTCAGCTCTACAGGGAGCTCTATATTTTAGATTTGCTTTCTATCGGATACACCTTCTCTGTAGGGCAAATACTCTGTCATGTGCGGAGAGTGACCTCATGTCAGAAAGGCGTATGTCATTTCGCTATAAAGATTCGCATGGTAACTGGTCAACAGGACGTTTAGTGAAACCGAGTCTTTTAAAGTAAGTATTAAATAAATTATTCTTGACTAGGATTTGGTATCATGACTGATATGTTCATCACAGTTCAAAGAGGTGCCGATATACACACCAAGAAACTAAACTTTGCGTGGTTATAATTTTGATCAATATTTCAGAGTGTGATTGTCATTGATTGATATTTGTTTGGATTTAAAGTTGGCTATAAACTAATCCTGAATACTATATATACTGGTTGATGTCTCGCTGCTAATGTTTGTAAATGAATCGTGGGATAAGACTAGAGTGGTGTCGTCAGCATAAAGAATCAGAAATACAATTTGGTAGGTCATTTACATAGAGTAAGAAAAGCAAAGGGCCAAGGACAGATCCTTGCGGCACGCCATGCAAAGTGCTGACTGTAGATGAACACCCATTGTATTCGACGAGCTGTTGTCTCTTCTCTAAATAAGGCTTCAGAATAACTACAGCACAATAGTAATCAAGTAGCCTTCAAACAAGTATATCGTGTTGTACACAGTCGAAGGCTTTGCTCAGATCGGCGAAAGTTGCTTCTATACAGGATGGCCCATCCATGTGTGGACGGAATATTACTCATAAACAAATACATTTTGGGAAAATCTATTTATGGGATGCTATACATGACATTTGAGGGCACATTTCTAAAATATTGGCCATTATACAGTGTGTCCCAATTTTGACCTACATATCAAAGTGGTGACTTTTTAAAAGAAATGCCTCAAATTTTATCACATATTTGGACAAACCAATTCAAAAGTAGAAGATTGTTATTACATACTATGGGGTTTTGGTAAGTAGCTACTGAGATGTAAGGTGATTTGTTCAGAAAAACCGCCCACTTCGGCAACCCCTCAATCCGCGTTTTTGAAATTTGGAGTGCTGAATTGTGTATCAAAAAAAACTTACACACCTCAGCTTTTATCTTATTTGTTACTTTTTTCGAATTTTCATTTTTGCTCATACAGGGCGGTCAAAAAACGCAAATTGTACTTTTTCTCAAAAATTTCAAATGCATCACCCTAATCGCCTCATCGCTAAAAAGAACCTTATCCAGGAAAGTAGTGTCTTCACTCACTTTATTTAGCATTATTCTACTAAACTATGTCTAAAAATTAAAATTCGAAAAAGTAACGAATAAAATAAACGCTGAGGTGTGTAAGTTTTTTTGATACAAAATTCAGCATTCCAAATTTCAAAATGGCGGAGGGGTTGCCGAAGTGGGGGGTTTTTCTAGGCAAAACACCTTACCTATATCTCAGTAGCTAATTACCAAAACTCCATAGTATGTTATATGAATTGTCTTCTTCTGAATTCGTTTATCCGAATATGCAATGAAATTTGAGGCATTCCATTTGAAAAATCACAACTTTGATATGTAGGTCGAAATTGGCACACCCTGTATAATGGCCAATATCTTAGAAATGTGCCCTCAAATGTCATGTATGTCACAAATAGATTTTCCCAAAGTGTATTTGTTTATGAGTAATATTCCGTCCACATATGGATGGGCCACCCTGTATGTGTGTATGATCTGCAGTGTTTTTATTTGTATTGTTTGTAATTTTTTTTACTCTCGCTACTAAACCTCAATTATGGTATTGACTTGTATGAGCACTACTCGTGTACTAGCACCAATAAATCGTTATTATTATTATTATTATTATTATTATTATTATTATTATTATTATTATTATTATTATTATTATTATTATTATTATTATTATTATTATCAAAATGCGTATTCAGATGGAAGAAACTCTTTGCCTTGGGCTTGGACTGGTTAGAGTAACTCATAGTAAAGCGAATCAAACGGTTCACCTAGAAGTAAGACACTTACTTTGGGAATTCGACGGTGACAACTCCTTTAGGCTGTATCTCAACGCTTTTCCCCCAAAACTTGAGCTTAGGGTGTATCGAACCATGAAAGACCCAATCTTTACTCTCAGCGTGGAAGGCTGATACAGGTGGGTGATGACTGACTTGTTCACAGATGAATCGGAATTCTTTACGTTCCAGCTCGTACGTTTCTCCCAACAAGGGGTTGAAAGGCTTGCCTAAGCGTTCCCAATTGGAAGCTAAGGCACTCACAGCAAATCCTAAAGAAAATCAAACGAAGGTCTGTTAGACAGCCCACCAATTTAACAACAGCTGATTTTAAATGTTTATATATGTATATATCTCGAGCTTTCGGTACGCTATGGTGTCATCATCAGGAGTCGTCGCATGAGGTTGCAGTCAAATGGTGTTTCAAAACGAAAGCCTGGATGAGCGCACTTGTTGCAAATGTAAAACCATATGTCCATGCTTTTGGTTGACAATATCGGCCATTTTGAATGTTCAGTCAGTTTTTGACAGTTATTGTGCGTGGACGTGTTTTAGCTTGTCTCCGATTTTTGTCTATTCCAAAAAAATAGATCAAAGAATTTGTATTAAATTTTGCGTAAAAAAACAACTTGAAGTGCGCGGACATATTCCAAATGTTGACTGTTGCATACCGCAAAGCTACTTTGGACAAAAGCAACGTTTATCGGTGGTACAAAATGGATTGGAAAAAACGTTATCACAAGTGTATAATGTCTGATGGGGATTACTTTGAAGGGGACAAAATAGATATTCATGAATAAATAAATAATTCTCGAAAAAACATGGAGTTCGCGATACTTTTTGAACACACCTCGTATGTGTAAAGGAGATGGAAGTAATATCTGTAGTCCTACTATGACACGTCAAAAACTGTGAAAAGACCTATAGCATTTTTTTCACTACTGATCTGAAAATCATTTTCCCTTCATCTGTTCAGGACTACTAGACCAAACCGCACTTATGAGTTTCTATTGGGCAAAGAACAGCTCTGCCTGCGGTTGGTCGTGATTGCAGAGTCGGACAACAAACATATCCATTTCAGTCTATTTTATAACTGGATATATTTCGATTTCATTTTATTATATGACAGTTTGAACGTCTCATGCTACTTGATGAATTGGAAACGAATTATGGGTCGATGTCTGTAGCATCTTCTGTCTTTGCCAGGTGCCCTCATGCAGCAGCAGCGTCCCTTCCCGATGCACCATTCTGTGAAGCAGATTTTGAGTGTGCCTGATGTGACAGTGTTGCCGCGTGTTCAGAAAATTCTCAGTTATGCTATATGTCAGTCTAATCAAATTGAATGTGATAATTTATCATAGCTGGTGGTAAAAAAGGCTCTATATACACATCGGTAATGGCATACTGCTCCATCAAGGTATGTAATGTTCTATTAATGTTTGTGCAATTGCTCTTACCTATGACATACTGCAATCGGATGACAGGATCTTCTTGCTCGGAAGCCAAAGTGAGCAGATGAGAATATTCCATGTATTCTGCAATTCTCTGCAGGAAGCTCAGGGGTTCGTTGAATACAACCGGCATCGTGATTTTGCTCAGTTCCTTTCCAATGCAATTTTTCAATACCGACCAGATATTGTAGTCATTCTGATACATCGGCACTGGCAGAGTTTGCCTAGAACATAGATGCGCATGTAACTATTTTCTACAAAATTGGTTGAGTAATAAAATATGTAAAAAAATTATATACAGGGTGTTCCTTAATGATATGCGAATATTTAAGGTTGTGAATCTACATAGAAGATTAATGTTAGTTTGTTTTATATACTATGGTCCAAAAATGTTTCCTTACAACAACTCGGGTTGTTGGTGAGTTGTTTTCCTTTGATGCGCCATTTTTGACTAAAAAAAATAAAAACCGTTCTATTGTCTAACTTGCAAAATTATTATTACTAAAACTCGGGGTGTTGAGGTTTTAGGAAAAAAATGGAAATTAATTAATATTTTCAGAACCGCCTCAGATGTTTCACTGATATTTAGTACGTAGCGGAAGTTAATGAAGTTGCATATTTTTCGATGCAAAAATAATTTTTAGCTTTTTAGCTTTTTAGCGTGCGTACAAGTATTGACTTCGATATTTTGTAAGAAAAAAGTGATACGCCAACGGTTTTTGGCAAAAAAAAATATTTTTGAATTCCCCGTTCAATTTAAAGCAAATGATTTATCTTGAGTTACTTTCCTTCGATGCGCCATTTTAGAGTAAAAAAATAAAAACCGTTCTATTGTACGAGAAAATTATTGTAATATTTGAAGAATGCAATTTGGCAAAAAATATCTGGTTGCTCTGGAATATGTCACTGGCTTTTGACATCTGACAAGTCTCTGTTATTCAAATCTGTTTGTTGTGACATCTTTTTCATTGTTTATTTTTTACAATCTTGTTAATAATGGTGAATTATTCAAATGCAGAAATGGCGGAAATGCATTAGGTATATGGCCTTGTTGACGGTAATGGTGAGCAAGCCAGACGGATTTATCACCAGAGATATCCCGATCATGCTTTGCCAGATAGTCGAACCTTTTCTAATATTCATCGTCGTCTTGTTGAAACTGGTTCTGTCAGAAAAGGAATATCTGAAGTTAGACCTCTAAGTGTGAGAACACCTGAAATTGAGGAAGCAGTGCTGCACGACGTCGAAGAACATCCTGAAATGAGTCCGAGGAAGATCGCTAGACACTTAAATATTTGCCATCAAATTGTTTGTAGAATTTTAGTGGACTTTTTGTTATATCCTTAACATATTTTAAGAGTACAGGCATTACTTCCCATTGATTTTCCAAGGCGTGCGACCTTTTGTCAGTGGTATCTTCAAAAAATTAGACAAAATCCGCAATTTCAATTATTGGTTCTGTTCACGGACGAAGCTAATTTTTCTCGAAATGCCATTCAGAATTTCCACGATAATCATTTGTGGGCAGAAGAAAATCCCTATGCCGTAACCGAAACCCATTTCCAACACCAATTTTCGGTTAACGTATGAGCAGGAATTATTGGCAACGACTTTATTGGCTCATTCTTCTTGCCGGGACTACTTGACGGACAGACTTACCTCAATTTTCTTCAACAACACTTGCCTTTGCTGCTTGATGATGTTCCGTTGGTAATAAGAAACAATATGTGGTACATGCATGATGATGCACCAGCGCATTTCAGTGTAGCGGTTCGTAATTATTTACACTGTTTATCCAAATCGTTGGATTGGAAGCGGTGGGCCCGAAGAATAGCCACCAAGGTCCTCAGACCTCAACAGTTTAGATTCCTTTTGTGGGGCTATCTTAAGACACTAGTGTACACAAGTCCCATTAACACTGTAGAGGAGAAGAATTAAGAGAAATAATAGTTGTGATAGAATAAAAACCCTCCAGGGATTTTTCCACGAGTGCGCAATTCCATGAGAAGGAGGGGGGAAGCGTGCATACTAAGTGAAGGGGGCCATTTTCAACAATTTTTGTAATCATGTCGTTGGTTTTAATGTTATGATTATGTTGTCAGTTGTTGTTGTTCATTATCCCTGATGTGTTTAACTTTTCCAATTAAATTAATAATAATTTTGCAAGTTAGACAATAGAACGGTTTTTATTTTTTTTAGTCAAAAATGGCGCATCAAAGGAAAACAACTCACCAACAACCCGAGTTGTTGTAAGGAAACATTTTTGGACCATAGTTTATAAAACAAACTAACATTAATTTTTCATGTAGATTCACACCCTTGAATATTCGCATATTATTAAGGAACACCCTGTATAATAATGTTTGAAAACTTCCCACCACGGATTTATCTAAAACCACCGATTAAAAGAAAAAAAAGACAGACAAGAAAAATCTTTTTTCATCTTAATTTGACGTGGCAACAACCAAATAACAACCCGCATTCTTTTCATCAATACAGATATCCTGGGCGATCTGTATTTATTTTTATGCCTGCTCAGTTATTTGTTGCTAAGAGAAAGAAAGAATTTAATTTGTTGTGAGTTACCTTTGTGATAATCTTCGGATAGTGAAAATTAATTTATTGATTCAGATTTTACTTTCAAAATGGTTTACATTCTAGCTGAAAGAGTGGAAATGATTCCTATTTATGCTGCCCAAAATCAATGTCCTCAGACAACATGTTTTTGAAAATGTCCGTCAGGAATTTGAACATGGCCTATATCATTGTTTGGCCAGTAACGGGCAACATTTTGAACACTTATTGGAATAAAATGCGATATTTTCGTGTTTTTTGTTTTCTCTCTGAACAAATTAAGATACATAAAGATTTTTCAAATTTTCTTGCAAACGAATTGACTGATTTTAAAAATCAAATGTCAAAATAATGGACTTTGAAAGACCTTCCAAACAAGCTATTATTCAATACTCCTTCTAATTTAAAATTTTTAAAGGGATGACCCTGGGGGCAGAGGGTGAAAGGAGTGAAGTAGTTTTTGGTTAAAAAGTTATCCTCCTTTACAAATCTTTTTTTCTTTTAATCAGTGGTTTTAGAACAATTCGGGTGGGACGTTTTCAAATGAACAGCCTGTATGTGTATGTTAATTTTCTGATTTCAAGGGCAACAGAATTTGTTACATAAAGTTAAAATAGCACCTGGAACATGATTGAACTGATTTTCTGGGCAAATGAAAGACATGTGAATAAATTACTTCTTAGTGACGTTTTGAGCATCACAGTGGCCTTCTTCAAAGTACAGATCTAGTGTCATTTGGCAAGAAAATCAAGGAGTTCCATTGAGAAAAGATGTTTTGCCACTAGTTCTTTTTCCTGGTTGACAGTATTTCAACAGATTTTAAACATTTAATGCGCATTTGACATTTTTTCGGAAGATTTAAGCAATTTTGAGTACACATTCAGTTCTAGCCAAAAATTGGAACGCTTTTGTTGAAAACATTGTATTGACATTGAATATTTTTGAGAGTAAATGAAGGGTCCCTCATCTAGTCAACAAATTTTCCTGGTTGAACGTCAAAAATGGAAAAATCACTTTTTGAGTATATTCATAAGACTGTGGCATACGTGGTTGACAAAAGTCGTTGAAGATGAAATTATCTTGAAAATGGATCTCAAGTTTTCGAATTGCTTTAGAGTGCCGTCGCTGGATAACTCGTCGAGAAATACCTTTCTAAATAAATTGATGAAAAATAAAAGTATACAGTACTTTCGTATGTTTTTTTCATGTTAGTTACTACAGAAGCTTTAACTTCCAGCTGTTCTTAGATTTTCTGCTGCCTATTCCTGGGTAAAAATGAATTAAAAAATAAACAGTGTTTTCACCTTTTTGTAACAACAAATTAACAGCTGCAGCAAGTTGGAAATAATAGTAATGTTCTCATATCAACACTTCATAGTTTCTTCCAAATTTAGAGATTGATATAAAAATTCACCTATTAGATTTTTTGCATCTCTAGGTGATATTCAAGAATATAGTTCCGTCGTAAAACCCATTAACATATGTTTCCTTTTCTAAATGGAAATTGTAAGCGGATTATGAACAAGCATGTATTATTGATTTACAAATGCTAAAAATATAAACATCAATTTCATTAAAAGCTTACCTATACACTTTCTCTCCGACATCCATAGTGTTTTGTGAAAACACTCCACAAATTCTGTTTGAGTAAATCGAACATCCGCAAGCTCCTCCTCAAAACTATCTTCGACATTGATGCATAATTATCTCACCGAGTATCTGGGAAAGAGGGGAAGTCTAGGAGTTGATGTGCGACGTTCCAACGGACAGGCGAACAGAAACTGTATTTGTTGCATCGATTACCAAAATATATGTTGGAATCTCCTTTGACCTTGAGGGAAATCGGGCAATGTACATTGGGAAATTCTGGGGTTCCGAATCACCTCTATTCGCATGCGCGGTGAATATCTCTGCGAAGGGGTGATACCAGTGGTGCAGGGCAAGGGTAGTTGAAGTCTTCGTCAAATTCGAAACTAAATACTGTTGCCACATGGATTGACAACGGCAGCGATGCGGGCAAATTAATATACTTGTACTGCACAGTTTTTCCTCAGGACATGATTGACAACCAGCTGAAGCTGGTAGAAAAGAGAGAGTCCGCCAGTGTATATGGCGGATGAATCAATGAATCTTGAAATTAGAGGCATTCCGGCCACCATAAGGAGCCAGTGCATAGGCCGCTTAAGCGGGCCCTTATGCACCTCTACAATCTTGAGATCACAAGCCTTACCCTTTTAGCGAAGTTGAGAATCGCCTTGAGTCCAAGCTCCTTGACGTCCTGAGGGTCCAAAGTAATGGTCCCCAGTATAGTCTGGCTATAGTATCTCAGAGCTTCACAGCGACACAAAACGTGCGCCGAGGTCTCTTCCTCTACCACGCAGCGTTTACACAAGGGATCCTCAGCCACTCCCATCACGTGCAGGTGACGCCTTAAACGTGTTATGGCCAGACAACAGTCCCACCAGCAACCTTAGGTTGGCTCTATCCAGAGATAGGCAGAAGCGTCCATCCTTAGCACTGGGCCCTTCAATGTGTTCCCGTGCCTGGCGGAGATGTCTGGAGATACTTCTCCATTTCTGAGAGTGTTGTCTTGCAACCCACGTCTCTATTTTCCTCCTAGCTTTATGCTCGGTCACTCCTAGAGCTGGCTCAGGACTAACGAGCTTGCTGGCTGATCCTGTCTACGCCAGAGTGTCCGCCGTCTCATTGCCCCTTATCCCAGCGTGCCCCGGTACCCATATTAACGATACCGGATGCCTCGCTGCGAGGCAATCCAGAGCCTCCCTGTATTATAATACAAGACTCGAAGTAATCTTACAGGCACTTAGTGCTTTCATTGCAGCCTGGCTGTCGGATATGATTGTTATTCTTCTCCTAGGCCCACCCTCCTCCAGAATGTGAGATACACAAGCCAGAATCGCAAAGATTTCCGCCTGGAAAATAGTGGTGTATCCACTGAGAGGCAGAGATAGCGTAGCTCTAGTCCCAGAGACCTCTTCGGTGACCGAGCCGTCCGTGTACCAGACCTGCCCGCTCACTCCGGAGAGTCCCCGGCTACCGGCGTCCCACTCCTCCCTCGTTGGATACTCCACAATAAACTTGCAGTTGAAGCGATATTTAGGGGTAATACGATTACCTCTGCTTAGACGAACGGAGTCCTCCCTTTGTAATTCGACTATGATGGCAGTATGCCCCTTGACAGGATTCAGGAAAGCCCAGCTGCCCTGACTCCACAGTCGATGAGCGACTACTCTCGCTTCACCGCGGATCACCAGATCCAATAATGGGAGATCCAACAGAGCTTCCATTGCACTCAATGGCGTTGTTCGTACTGCGCTTGTAATACTAATACAGGCCAAACGCTGAATTTTATTGAGTTTGGCCTTAGTTGTCTCAGTTCTAATGCAAGGCCACCAGACCAGGGAGCCGTACAAGAGAGATGGACGTACTATCGTCGTGTAGAGCCAGTATACCACTTTGTGTTTAAGCCCCCACCTTACCCCGACAACACGTCTACAAGCCCACATCGAATTGCGAGCCTTGCTAACCTTGTATTCAACATGCTCTCTCCAGTTCAGTTTGCAATCCAGAATAATTCCCAGATATTTCACTGACTGGGCCAAACCTAATCTAGTCCCAAAGAAGGTCGGCATGACCAGCCCGTCAAGCCTTCTTCTCCTAGTGAATAGGATCAGCTCGGTCTATTCAGCATTAACAGAAAGATCGACTTCCCTACACCACGATTCCACGGAGCGCAGAGCGCCCTGCAAAATTTCCGAGACTGTTTTACAAAAACGCCCCCTAACTACTATGCTGACGTCATCAGCATAGGCTTGCACGTAGACACCCCTACTGCTGAGCCTAACGAGGAGTCCGTTCACCACGATACACCACAGTAGGGGTGACAGCACTCCGCCCTGAGGGCAGCCTCTAGCTACACTCACGCTGCAGCTTACGTCATTCAGCATAGCTGTTGTTACCCGACCCTCCAAAGTAGATAGGACCCAATCTATTAGGATTGATTCAACCAAGGCGGATACTCAAGGGCTCAAGGGCGGATTCAGGATTTCGTCTAGGGGGGGGGGGAGACGCAAACGATATTTGGGGCTGGTCATTTTTTAACCTCAGTGAAACTTCTAGAATTTATCCTATTATTGCTCCTTAAATCCATTGTGTTCTATCTGGTCAAGGCCAGCTTGAAAAAAAAACATGGAAATTGCTCAGAAATCCCCAGAAACCCAATATTTTATTATATGAGAACAAAATAAGTACGTGGCATTTATAATTAACTAGTGTAATAATATTAAAGATTCAAACATAAAAAACTTCACTGCTCTGTTAACCGACAAAAATAAATAAAACATTCTGAGGGACCCCGAGACACATCCCAGTCCATTTCACACAAAACAATGTCTTTGATTGCGAAAACGAACATGGGACCAAACAATTCACATTATCTTATGGACGCTAGACAAGAGAAAGAAGGATGTCTGAGATCATCTATAGATCGTGTCTTGAGACCGTCTCCAGACTGCCTATGGACAAATTGCGCAACGGGGTCTACTAGTATATAGAATAGCAGAATGTCACTGGCTTTTGACATCTGGCAAGTCTCTGTTATTCAAATGTGTTCGCTGTGACATCTTTTTCATTATTTAGTTTTTACAATCTGGTTAATAATGGTGCATTATTCAAATGCAGAAATGGCGGAAATGCATTACGTATACGGCCTTGTTGACGGTAATGGTGAGCAAGCCAGACGGATTTATCACCGATCGTGCTTTGCCAGATAGTCGAATCTTTTCTAATATTCATCGTCGTCTTGTTGAAACTGGTTCTGTCCGAAAAGGAACATCTGAAGGTAGACCTCCAAGTGTGAGAACAGCTGAGATCGAGGAAGCAGTGCTGCACGAAGTCGAAGAACATCCTGAAACGAGTACCATACCATATTTTAAGAGTACAGGCATTACTTCCCATTGATTTTCCAAGGCGTGCGACCTTTTGTCAGTGGTATCTTCAAAAAATTACATAAAATCCGCAATTTGAATCAATGATTCTGTTCACGAACGAAGGTAATTTTTATCGAAATGCCATTCAAAATTTACACAATAATCATTTGTGGGCAGAAGAAAATCGCTATGCCGTAACCGAAACCCATTTCCAACACCAATTTTCGGTTAACGTATGGGCAGGAATTATTGGCCCACTCTTGTTGCCGGGACGACTTGACGGACAGACTTACCTCAATTTTCTTCAACAACAGTTGCCTTTGCTGCTTGATGATGTTCCGTTAGTAATAAGAAACAATATGTGGTACATGCATGATAGTGCAAATCGTTGGATTGGCCGCGGTGGGCCACAAGAATGGCCACCAAGGTCCCCAGACATCAATAGTTTAGATTTCTTTTTGTGGGGCTATCTTAAGACTCTAGTGTACACAAGTCCCATTAACACTGTAGATGAATTAAGAGAAAGAATAGTTGCAGCTTGTGATAGAATAAAAAACACTCCAGGGATATTTCAACGAGTCCGCAATTCCATGAGAAGGAGGGCGGAAGCGTGCATACTAAGTGAAAGGGGCCATTTTCAACAATTTTTGTAATCATTTCGTTGGTTTTAATGTTATGTTTATGTTGTCAGTTGTTGTTGTTCATTACCCCTAATGTGTTTAATTTTTCCAATTAAATTAACAATATTTTTGCAGGTCAGACAATAGAACGGTTTTTATTTTTTTACTTAAAAATGGCGTATCGAAAGAAAGCAACTCAAGGAAGATCAATTGTTTTAAATTGAACGGGTAATTCAAAAATAATTCTTATTTGGCAAAAAACCATTGGCGTACCATTTTTTTCTTAAAAAATATCGAAGTCAATACCCGTACGCACGCCACTGTTAAAGCTAAAAATTATGTTTTCATTGAAAAATATGCAACTTTATTAACTTTCCCTACGTACGGAATATCAGAAAAATATCTGAAGTGGTTCTGAAAATATTCATTAATTTCCATTTTTTCCTAAAACTTTTTGTAAGGAAACATTTTTGGACCATAGTTTATAAAGCAAACTAACATTAATTTTTCAAGTAGATTCACACCCTTAAATATTTGCATATCATTAAGGAACACCCTGTATATAGCGACTTTAATTTGGATCTTTAGTTGCAGAGGGTCTGATCCGAATTCAGCAACGTCGACGGTGACACAACCGCAGCCTACAGGAGACGAAGTATTGTAATCGCGAAAAATTCCGAAAATTGTTTTTTGGGTGTTATATGGCATGTACCATACAAAAAACCAAGTTACTCATTCCCGTCGGCCTGTCTGTCGGTCTCTGTCCGCTAATCCTACACAACTACGCGAGGGATGCAAAACGAAAAACAAAAAGTGACGCATATCTCGGTTTTTGATGTTTCAGAAGCTCTTTATCTTTTTTATAAAAAGATGTAGGGGTTAAAAAATGGGAGTTAGGAGTTGCACAGGGTAGAGACTAAACTGAATCCAAATTCAAGATGAGATGTAAATAATAACAGTTAGCGCGTGATATCTCGGTAACAGGTGGGGACAACGCCTCTTATTGGTCAATTCGCCATTAAATTTCAAGCGGCCGCCTGGCGGAATAATGCGCGGGGCAGGGACAGGGCAGGCAGAGTTGCATTCAGGCCACCGACCGTCGCGTGTATCACTGCGTGCTCGTGTTTTCGTATTCGCCTTGCTTGGTTGTTGCTGTTGTTGTTGTTAAGTGTATTTGCGTAATTTGTTAAGTTTCTGTTAAATACTGTCATCTTTGTTTTACAACACGTTGGTGGTAGTCCATTTTTCGGAGGTAGCCCTGAATGCGGCCCTGTACGCCGTCCTTGCTTTTGGCAATCACGCATCCATTCTATCTTGGGTGTAAATACACTATAGTATATCTTATTTTTTTTGGCGGTAGTATATTTACGGTTCTAATTCCAGTAATTTTATCAATACATATTCCGCACACCAAAGGTTTCCCATCGCATTTGCCCTTAAAACTTTACATACTTACAGACGCGACACGCGGTCGGTCGGGACGATGGCAACATTCACTTTTTGTGCATCTGACTGTATCGCTGGCGTTCTCGATCTTCTTCGATCAGATGGTCTATACTTAGGGCTAGGAAGAACTAGCGTTTGCATTAATTATTGGGAGGGGATTATGGAGTCCGCACTAATTATATGAGCCGGTTTGGCTTACTTGATACATATAATTTTTTGTTATACATGTTTGTAGCTAGCTCAGAGTGACTTATGCCTTTATGAACTGATGACAGCGTAGCGTTGGAAGTGCAGAGTCAACCTACTTGACGCCATTCTTTTAAATCAACAATACTGTATTTTCTAAGAATTTTCGTATCCGTCGAATAAGAGTGTGTAAAAGCTGACTCAAATTCTGTACATAATGCATATTCAATGGTGCGATGGTGGTGATACTTTTTAACAAATGCTCCCAGTTTTTCCCGAGTTGAAAAATATTTTGTGACTTCCATGTTTGCTTACCGCGCCTAAAATCTGATTCATAACTATGTGGGTGTAGCTTTTTGCAATTTCTGGATTAATTAATAAAACAAAGGTGTTGGAAATAGAATTGGTACAGTTGCCAAAACGAATCTTTTAATTTTATGCACAGTTGCGTAAATGAATGTTACAATTGAGCTATATTTAAACAGACACGATGGTAAGGCCTTAATGCCGCGGTACACGATTGTCATAAAGAAGTTCAGAGTCTTACACTCAAGTCTTACACTAGGCGATAAAAAATAGCGTCAAGTAGATTGACTCTGTCATTTGCACGCCTTCGAAACAAAACATGTTTCTATAAACATGAGTCTGGAAATATCTCATAAATAAAAAAAATTTCTCAAAAATATCCACTCGATTCTGTAGAAATTTGATAGTATTGTTTTTTGTATTAAGAGTGTAATTCAGCCCTGAATATATTAAAATTATTAGGTCCAGTGGCGTCCCGGCACCTTAGCAAATATTAGTGGAAAAAATGTACTTCACTGAATTTTTTGTAACTTTAATATTTGCTGTTTAATACAACTTCTTCACCTCTCGTATTTTTTTCGTATCTCACTTTGTTTTCGGGGGAAAAAAAAATAAAAGCAGTTTTATTGCATGTTACGACAAAATTGGTCTATTAATGTTTGCTAAAAAAATCATAGAAACAGAAAATCAAAAAAAAAAAAAATCTAGGAAAGAGTGTTATTTCCAGTAGGTACCATGACGTGAAGTCCACTACAACAAATGTTGGAAATGTCTACCATCCATTTCCGTACACCTGCCCACTCGACGAATCATTGAACACTGAATTAGCCTCTTAATACAGCAAATAATATTGCCAAATTTGAACAGAATGGAGTAAATATTTTTTAAGATATTGATTATTTTTTTAAATTCATTACCCTGTATTTTAAAAACTGTGCATTTCGAGACCCATGTTTATAGAACCTTTTTTTCATATTTTTTTATTAAGGAATCACCCTCTAAAATATCACCCTATATATAAATAGTATCGCATGCACCTAGTATGTCGTCGCACCGTTAGCTGCTATATCTTTATACGTCACTCAGATCGAATATCAAAGATGCAATATTTATAAAAAGCACCTGTGGTGCACGGTATGTGCGACCGATAGGCGATACGTCTGGTGAAAATATTTTTGTTTTAATGGAAAATGTACGGGCAAATTTATGAGGTGTGAAATATGTCTAATGGGTGTGCATGATTACAAGGGTTGGAAGTGTACTAATATAAAAAAATGAGATATATCCTCCCCCATCCCTGGTCACTCAATTTGTTTTTATTTTTGACTTTTTTCTCTGGCGCTACTGGATCAATTTTCAAAATTTACATAGCTTTTTCGTCTTTGGTATAGTAGTAACCAAATTTAATCCACATTCAAGTAGTACTTTCCAAGATATAGGCGGAGCAAGGACTAGCGGACAGACAGACCGACAGATCGACAGACATACGGAAATAAGTGAGATGGTTCATGACTGGTACATGTCATATAAAATCCCAAAACCAATATCTCATTTTTGAAATTTTCGCGATTGCAATACTTTCTTCTGTGCCAGATTGACGTGGGAAGTAAAATGCATAAAGTGCATTTCATATTTCCAACTTGTGAGGGCTTATTTCCTAGGCCAATTAGCAAGGAAGTAATAAGTAATAAAATCTCGAAAAATTTCGAAAATCAGAATCCGTTTTGGGACATTACGAAAAACCATGTTAATCATTTCCGTCTGTCCACTGATCCTTTATCCCTGTAAATACCAGTCGAATGATGATATCTTGACATTCAACTACTGCTATGTCAAGAGAAAAAAGCTTTACAGGTTTTGAAAATCGATCTAGTGCCGGAGGAGTCACGGACTAACTAAGAATTTCGTTTTTTGACGTTTCGGAGATTCCTGCTCATTTTCAGAAAAAATATTAGGGTTGAGGTTGGAGGTTGTTGGGGGTCGAGGGCTGTAAATGTTGCATGTTTGGTATCATCACTTCGACTTTCTATTACAAGAAGCTTCTAATTCCGACAAGGGCCTCCAGGTGTGCGTGGCAACCCTCTTGCCCAACAAAATAATACCTGCCCCCATATCGCTAGAACTATGATGAACTACATCAGTAACGCTTCAGTCAGTCTCCTTTCTCTACCTCCCAGATCTACAGAGCTTTCTCCGACTGAGATATGATGGGAGGAAAAGTAACCTCTTTACCACGGCTTCATCCTCCACAGACACTGGGCTAGCTTCAGATGAGGTACCTCAAGAAGACCTCTCCAGAAGCGTGTTCCGCTTACCTATGTGTAACTGTATATAAAATTTGAACAAAACAAACCACATAATCTAATTGTTAGATGATGATAGAACTACATAGGTGAGAGTTAAGCTACTTGACGACATTTTTTCAGGGAGCCGTGATAATTAAGAAAAAATAGGTGCTCTGCGATATTTTTACCCATTTTTGATACTAGTATAATGATCGCTTTCTGAGCTATAAAAATATAGGAATAGGCATAGACAGAAACATAATTCAAAGTAGAGAATTTTATTTATTTTGTAGTTAAAGAATAATACTGATACGTTTCATCCTCATTAAAATTAAATTTTAACAGATCAATAAATAAAATGCATCTTACATCTCCACAGTTGAGTACTATAAATAATAGTAATAACAATTTTGCTACCTAAGCTATCATTAACCTATAACATATATTACGAAAATATTTTCAGGAACATTAAAATGCCTAGAATTTGAATTATCAAAATATGGTTATATACATAAAATAAGTACAAAAAAACATATAATAAAAGATATATTTCTGGGGTTTTGATTCAAATACTTTTACTATCACATTTCATAGTAAAAAGAATACTGCAGTTCTCTAATCTACTTGTTTATACTTACACTGGGATGTATATTTGAATGAAAGATTAAGTATTGTCTAGGAACATTTTTGTTCAGAACTGTACATGCAAGAGAATTATTCAGATTATGTTGCTTCTTGACTAATTCTTTCTAGTCCGGGAAATATCTTCGCATCTGATGGGAAAAATATTCTGATTTCGGATTTCTTGCATAGCCTTATTCAAAAAGGGACTTTTTTAACGAATCTGCATGTTGCCAGTCCCAAATTTGCGACAAAAATTTTTGAAACAACTTCTTCCAAACAAATTCCAAAAATGTGCGTTTCAAGTGTTCTGAACAAAAAAAGGTGAATTACAACTTTTCTCTTAAGTTGATAGTTTTCGAGATATAAGCGAGGCAATATTTAAAAAAGTGTGAAATATGCCGTCTTCGATCCGGAGAAACAATATGAAAAAATGAAAATTGCAATGTGTACCTATGTTTCTAAATATTGTTCTGTTATTGTAAGACTTTGTTTTTTAATTGTTAGTCGGGCGCGATTGATTAAAAATTAAAAAATAACAACAACAATATCTCCTCTGATGCTTTGGGATTTTGTTAATGGATGTTTGAAGGATATTTAGGAATATTGGCAACATTAAAATTTCTGTTTTTTCATATTATTTTTAAGGGTCGATACTGGTGTATGTCGCACTTATCGCTTATATCTCGAAAGCTACAAACTTCGGAGAGGAGTTCTAGAGCACCTTTTTTTTTATGTTCAGGATGTCCTAAAAAACCTAAAAACTCTTTGAACGGAGGAACTTGTTTAAAAAAGTTTAGACGTAAATTTTGGCTTGGCAACATGAAAATTCGTTGAAAGAGACCCTTTTTAAATGAGATTATGCAAAAAATCCGAAACACAATATTTTGCCCATCGGATGCGAAGATATTGCCAGAACTATTCTTAGTTCACAATGCGAGAAGTAATCCAAAAGAATTCGCCAACCAGGCATTCTTTCTGCGTTCATTTCATAATATAGGCATGAGCCCCGGTACTTTTGGCGTACTAACTGAATTAAATAAGAATTGTTTTTTGGGCGTTGAATGAAACCACATATGTAGGATAACTTTTTGACCTCCTCGGTAGCGTAATGATAATATTTTTATAAATATTCCATTACACTTTTCACATTTGTCCATCTTGAAATATAAATCACCTAAGAACAGTGAAGTATATCATCCAAATGATCCGCTATAGAAAAAATTGAATCTGTCAAAGAATCTGTTATGTTGGTTAGACATATTTCTCAAATACGTTCGAGAAAAGACTAAGAAGTAAGATTGGGTTAAAATTGCATATATCAAACTTATCACCATTTAAATAGGAGCCTGATTTTTGTAATTTGGAGCTTGGATAAACTTCCTCTTCAATAGAGCAGTTGATTAAAAAAGTTAGGTTAGATGACAATATTAGCATATTAGTACTAATTTTATCTGCCTATTATTTTTTGTTATAGTTACCATATCATTTACTTCAGCAGCTTTCCTAACTATATTGATAGTACTATTCCTCACAGTCACATCTTTATACAGGGTGTTCATGTGAAAACTAAATAGATAGAAAACAAAAACACACGAAAATACCACTTTTTATTTCAATAAGTGTTTAAAATTCGGATTGTTATTTGGTTGTTGCCATGTCTGATCTTCCGAATTGCTGTCTATGTTGGTAGATTCCATTTTAAATTATAAACAAGTTTTGTCAAACCTTAACGGGCAACATCTTGAACTCGTGAACGTGATATTTTCGTGTGTTTTTGTTTTCTATCTGAACAAATTATGATAAATATAAATTTTTCTAATTTTCTCGAAAACGAATTGACTGATTTTAATAAATCAAACGTCAGAATGAAGAAGTTCAAAAGACCTTTCAAAAAAGCTAATACTCGAAACCCCTTGTTATTCAAAATTGAATGACTCTGGGGGGCCGAGGGTGAAAAGGGCTGAAGTAGTTTTTGGTTAAAAAGTTATCCCCCTTGACAAATCTTATGACGTATCTCGGCGTTTTTTCTTTTAATCCGTGGTTTCCGATAAATCCTTGCTGGGAAGTCTTCAAATGATTACCCTGTATAAACCTGAAACATTATTCAAATTTACCGGCGGCATCTTTTGATTTCGTTATTATTTCTTGCCTAGGTATGTTTCTATTCCGTTTAATTATATTCCAGGCTTTATCTGTTTTTTTGCATGTAAGATTGCTGTGTTATAATGTATTCCCGCTACCAAAGACACCCAGCCTCTCGAAATAAACAAGAGGTTCTCAGTTGTTTTGGATGTACTGGACACATCAACGCCGCTCATCTCCACGAACGCCCAGCGACTTCGAGAGCGAGAGCCCTCACAGATTTGTTGTCTCTCTGCCTACCTCAGATTCTGTTTTATTTTAAAATTGACGTGATCTTGGCGCTTTGAAAAGGCTACCGAGATGGCCGAAACGTTAGTAAACGATTAATCCTACATATTTGATTTCATTCTACGGCAAGAAAATATGGATATCCATCAGCACGAAAACTACAGGTTAAGTTTCAGGTGTTGAATAATAAACGAATGTTTCGACTTCAGCAGCAACACCTGCAAGAAAAACTCCTTGAATCAAATCACTGAAGGGATAGAGATGTGAATTATACTCTTTTTGGAGCATATACTTCTTTTGAGAATATTATATATAAATACTTAAGGCATTAAAAACAAATATAACAATATAAAAATAATATATGAATACTGTAGCTGTTGTGGCACAAAATGTTTCACAAAATGGAAACATACTATTGAAATGTTCGTCAATTTCTCACATTCCGTATGAATAGAAAACCTACTTCTCAACTAATAATACCTTAAGATACCTGATGCCTTGTTGAAACCATATTGGGAAAACTCATTTTCTTTTTTCCATATCCCGATAGTATATGGGATGCTTGAACCGAAGGTTTAATTTATTGTTAGTTGCACAATGTCATTGGTCAATTTAGTACGTAGGTATCTAAAATAAATTGTACTAGACGATTTTTTCTTTATAAATAGACTTAAACCTGTAGTACACTGAAATTATCAGAAAAGAGTTTAACCACGCGTTAAGTCTAGACGTTCGTCCTCGAGCCCTGACGTAGAATATGAAAACTGGTTTAACTGTCAATGAGCCGTATTCATAAAACAAAGGATATCCTTGTAGTTGCAAATTTTGAAGGAAATCCTCCAGATTGTATTTATAATAATTTGAAGTAAATGCTTTTGCTTTTTGAGTATAAGCATATCCTTCAAAGCAGTGACATAAGTAAAAGTATATTCATAATCTTCACCTTATACTTGGCATAGGAAGCATAACTTTCAAAAATTCTGAGTGTGGTCAGTAGCAGACTCAACGAAAGGTGGTCAAACGATGATGGCGGAAATTGTGGATGTTAGGGATGTTAAAACGTACAAACCTCGTTTACTTTCACTTGATCCAAGTTTCCAACTACCAACCATGAACTGATGGAGGCCAAGCATATAGGGAAAAGCATGTATAAATTTCCGACAGCAATTGGTGTAATTGATTGTACACATATAGGAATCCTGAAACCAAATCGCCATGGAGATGAGTATATCAACCGAAAAGGGAAAACTACTTTAAATGTGCAAGCCACTTGTGATGCCAGAGAGATGTTCACAAGTGTTGATGTCAGTTGGCCTGGATCAGTGCATGATTCCAGAATATGGAGAAATTCACAGACTAGATCACAACTAATAAATAAAGCAAATGTTGTACTACTTGGCGCTGACGGTTATGGTATTGAGCCATGCATTATGACTCCCTTCAGAAATCCTACTCCAGGTGCAGAAATAAATTATAATGAGCTTTTAAAACAAGAAAGAGTTAATTGAACGCTGCTGGTCGTTGTCATTGTTTTCTATAGTTTCCTGATCACTTGATGATGACATGCTTATTAATTTGATAAAAAACTGTATCCAGTAAAAATACGGAACGGTCTGTGTAAGCTCTAGAGTACAACCGTCAGTGATGCTTAGTGAACGAACTCCCACGTCAACTACAAGCTGGAACAAGTCAGGACACGTCGCTCAAGATACAAATACCAGTCAACCTTTTACTTCTTCCTGGAGGATATCCTCGCGAGCATAAGGTAATCATTATGAATATGAAAACAAGGATATGCTTATACTTCTACCTTTTTCTCAGAAGCAAGACCTTTTACTTTTACCTTATGCTTCCGAGGATATGCTTCTCTTTTACGAATACGGCTCAATGTATTTTGCTTAAAAAACGACTTTTCGCCTAATTTCAGGGTACACTTCACAATATTGCACTAAGCATTTAGCGTATCTAAGTTTGATCACAGTACTAAGGAGTATCACGATCTGACTCAGACCTTTCTACAGGTGGATGGTTTCTCTTAGGAGGGGGTTGCAATGGAAACAGCCGGTGTTCTGAAGGACATCGGATGGGTCTTTCAACATCCTCACAAGTTGAGGCTGTTGACATGGAGGGAACATGCTGCTCCGGTATCCAATCAAAAGAGAAGGTTCCTGGTTGAACTCCAGGGGTTGCAGTTGGTGTCGGGGGTGTACTGCCTATATACGGGCTTAGCTCTTGGTGGCAAAGGTCAGGAACTTTCTGTAAGGTGTCCGACCAGGGTGGACTCGGGTTCCATTGCTCCATATGATCGCTGGGGTCTACCTTCAGGAGGGTTCTAGGTCTTTCTGTTAGATGTGAGACTATCAGAAGGCCCGAATTTCCTGAAACAGACAAACATCTTGAATGTAGGGTGAAGATCACGTTTACTTTATTTTTGTAAAAACCAATCGATCGCCCTGCTAAGATTCTGTTTTGTTGGAACGTCTTTTCCCTATACAGGAAGCTTTCTAAATACGGTGCCGCCGCGGTGGGAGTGGCCAGCGGGAGGCGGGTTTCTTCCAAAATTTACACCAAATAACAGCGATAGTTCGTAAACCGTGTGAGCGAAAAAGTTGTTTTTTCTGCAATGGTTTGTCCGGCTCTTTTTCTAGGTCTTAAGTGGGTTTCCTTTTGAAAACTCAGTTTGCTTTTTCAAAAAAAACAAAAGTTTTTCTGAAAAAAATGTCAAGAAAAAAAGTCATATCTCAGGCTAATCTACTATAAATGTGGAATATTGTCATACAATTTTAGAGCTGCACTGTTATTCGTTCACAAACTACGATTGTCAAAAAAATGGACAAAAAAATGCATTTTTTATGAAAAAAATGCTAATTTTGCTGATCAATCATCTCTTTATACAGCATGAAGGTATCAGACGAAAATAATTAAAAATATGGCTTCCAAGTTGTTTACATCCAGTATGTGTTTTGTTTATCAAGTGAAAAGCAGGTAAAAAGAGGGTCGTGAGACCCTTTCGAGGCATCGACGGAGGGAGGACAGCCCAATTAACTTTCAGCAAGAAGGCGGTACGCGAGGTTTAACCCATCGGAGTTTCGTAATTAGTAAAATTCCTAATAGTTTTATTAATTTGCGCATTTTAACGGTTTATAGAAGGATGATTCCTTGAACTATCCTAATCGTACTTATTTTCTGTTTTGAAGAAGAATCAGATATATAACGATTTCTTCTCCCTTCTAATAGAATGTTGTGTATCTATTCAATACAATGTTATTTCTTGTCAACGAGCCTGATCATTTCTAGTTGTTCACTCAACATAAATTTGTTAAAATGTAGGTTTGGACTGGATTTTCACATTTCATGGGTAATAATCCACTTAAATATCCAATCAGCTATTACTTCATTTCCCTCGTCTCCTGATAAAGTCTATTCCACATTATCTTTCATCAAGAAATGTTATATACAATATGAATATGTGGTTTATGAACGACGGCGCTCCACCTCATTTTAGTATATCAGATAAAGAGCATCTAACTAGAGTTTATCCAGACCAGTGGATAGGCCGATCAGGACCTGTATCGTGGCCGGCTAGATCGTCAGATTTACATCTTATGGATTTCTTCTGCTGGGGTGATTTGAAACGACGCGTTTACAATACACCAGTGGAAACTGTAGATGATCTTCGACAAAGAATTTTCTATCATAACCAAGAAATGAAAAATAATATCCAAATGCTTTGGACGGTGCAGCAAGTATTAGTTCGTCGAACTCGAGAGTGAGTTAGGCAATTTTTGTAGTTATGATTTCCGTTTATTAGTTTTGTGCCATCCTCATTTGCTATTATTGAAAACCATAGCAACGCTACTCAGATATTATTCAAAGCAACTTGATTATTATGTTATAAAAATGTTTTATCATCGTACGAATGACGCATTGGAACCTTTAAAAACAAATATCTCAAAAACTATTAGCTTTAGATACTTCTAACAAGTAATCCTTTTTTGTTGTGGATATACGAGAAAATAAGATTTTTCGGTCAGTTGTTGTATACAGGGTAGCACAAAAAATTTATGATGTCATTTACAGAAATAGTGCTGTAAGTGGCGCCCTCTAGAAGTTTGACCATAAAAAATAACAGAATCTTGTTTCCCATACTAAAAAACCTCCCTATACCGAGTTTTATGCCAAAATCTGGAATAATTCTCAAGCAATAAGGAAAAATAGAAAATAAAATTGTAACTTTAACGCCCTGTATCTCGCAAACTATCAACTTTTGCACTGAGGTATGTTTAAGTCAATTCACATATTTTGGTCCGTAGTATCTCTAGTTTCGAGATTTCCCAACCTTTCGCAGGCACCCTGTATACTCTGTGACGTTGTTACCTCCAGAAAAAATAATTCAACTTGATTTTTTGGCAATAGGGAAGTCTTACATCAAGAACGAATCTATAATGACATTTTATAAGAAAAAAATTAATAATCTGTTGCACGACCCCGCAGCTGAATACACTCCTGTATACGTCTAGGCATCGACAAAATGATATGATCGATGTCTGGTTGTGGCAACTCATTCCAAGCAACTCGAACTTCGTGGATTAGCTGTGGCAGAGTCTGTGGTGGATGGTGCAAAGCGGATAGTCTCCTCCCCATCATATCCCACAAATGTTCGATGGGATTTAAATCCGGTGAACGGGGTGGCCAAACATTAATGCCTGCTTCTTGAAGAAACTCCGTAGTATGACCAGCAATATGGGGACGTACGTTGTCTTGCTGGAAAAGGACGTGTGGACGGCCCTCTAGATACGGCAGTAAAGTGGTTTGTAGGACATCATCAACATAACGCGCAGCAGTCATATTGCCTTGAACAAAGAGAAGGCTTGATCGGCTACTATAGGAAATAGTAAAAAAAACAGTTCTCCAACAGTCCGGTGTACATGCCTCTCAACAGCAAATCCGTTCTCCACTGCGGCGTCTCACCCTTGTACGACCATCGTGCGTACTTGGACAGAATTTCGATTCGTCGCCGATGATGACATTATGCCATTCTGCCTCCAAATGTTCCCGTTGTCTGCTGCAGTTCAAACGTTGAGTACAGTAGTCCGCAGTCAGAGGTAGCACTTACCGTGGATGGTATGGAAAGGGCCCAAAGGCTCGAATGCGGCGATAGAGGGTAAGCATAGGAACGTGTCTACCTTCTTCTCCATACCATTGGTCAGCGACCTGACGCGTAGTAGCAAAATGTTCTCGTAGGAACAGTTGTCTGAAGCGCCTATCTTGACGCTCTGTGGTATACCTCGGTGTTCCTCTACCTTTTGCTATCCACACACGACACACACGCATTTCCGTCATTTCAGTACAATTAACACGGCGGCCAATTTCGCGATAGGACAAACCAACATCTCGATAGGCAATAATTAATTTCTATTCTATTTATCTAATAATATGCCTGCTTCATCCAGCAGACCATGCCTGATATTCTGGATTATAATTACTTACCTTCACTCTCCGTGGTGTCATGGTTAGCCACCTCCAGCTCAATATTTCTAAGCTCCTTAGGCTTCCGTTTGCTGTAAGAGTAATCCACAGGTTCTGCTTCTGTACACCTACTGTGATGATGGTGATGGGAATGTTGAGGATGGGTCGCCACAGCATGGTGTGTTACATGGGGCTGCAAAGCTGGAGGCATCGTGCTTAAGTGGGAGTATCCAGTTGTTTCATGGGATGATGCGAATTGAGGAATGGGACTGTGCTCTGGGTAGTAGAAGAGTCTTGATGAACCTGCGTCGTAGTTGAGGCCGTATTGGAGCTTGTTTTGGACGGAGTAGTAGTGATAGAGCCAACTGTTTGTCCTGGAAACATAAAAATGAATTGCCTTCCAGCGATGTATACAGACGCCTTGAAGTTAGCTAAGCTTTAAAGGGTAGTGTTGCAGACTTAATCCTTTGCGGCCTACTGGTCTTCTCAGATGACCGTTAATTCATAGTAAATCTTCTCAGCTAGTTATAGTATTTTGACGTTGCCACGATAATTACTGGTTGCCTATAATTTAGGCTTCTTCTCAGCACTTACAAAAAATACTAAGGGAGCAAGAAAAAAATTCAAAACTTTCAATGATTTTAGATAAATTGTATTTCGGTGAAAATGGTCTCATTTAGACTTAAAAAAAGCATTTTGAGGCTTTAAAATTCTAGTTTTTAGGTTTTAGCCGCGATCAGGCCGAGATTCCAACGCAAGCCAAGGCACATGTGGTTACAGATTTGGAGGTTTTCGAATTGGTGTGTACGGCGCGAGCCAACATGAGCCAACAGTCTCCAAGGCTGGCGTTAGCGTTCGCTCCTTGATCGGTACATCAAACGGAGGTTTGATTTGGTCTGGACGGGATTCGTTGCGCATTTAGTATTTAGTCGTTTTAGACGACGAGTAGAGGAGCGCATTCCAATACCTTCCAATAACAAACGTCAATGTCACATGTGCTTGCATTCGCTTGGTCGGCGTTGGATTTTCGGTCTGTACGCGGCTTAATAAATAGCGCAAGGAAAATGTTTGCGTTCTTCTTTTTAATCCACGGGCTTGAAAACATGTTTTCCTATTAGGCCGTCATATGGATCAGATAGCCATTTCATTCTAATTCAATATACTGTTGTTAAGATCTCGATACGATCATTTGGCGCGGAGATATCTAACTTTGAGTGAAAAAGGATCAATTTGTCATGGATCACTGACATTTCGGTAACCAGTAATCGAACAGAGAATGTACGGGTATTAGCGATAACTGCAATAAATCCCATATAAGATTTTACTGCAATCTTTGAGCTTCTTTTTTCCCTTAATATTGATCTTAAAACAGTCAAAACAGTTACCTTTTGCCTTGCTTTTAGGTTTTTTATATCTCAATGTACCCCTGATTACTCTAAACCACGATACATTGTACGGTTTCTCCGGTTGCTCAAAATTTGAAAAAATCAAAAGAGCAAAATTTTTGTATCAAAGCATTCTGTAATCTGGTTGAAAATGAAAAAATCATTTTTCTTCTTTCGGTGTCACTATTGGATACCTGTAACACGTTCAATTTTAAAAATAGCAATTGGAAGAATTTATTTTTTTTATTCATGGGACATTCCAAAAAACAAGAATACAAACCAGGAACCGAAATGTCCGAAGATTGCATGATTTTCGAATTTTGACCAATCGGGCCGGAAAAACCGTGCAATGGATCGATCTTCCGTCGGGCAGGATTATTAGAGGTAAATTGAGGTATAAAAATGCTTAAAAACATTAGCACTTCCAAAAATTTCTTTTTCGACTCTTTTAAAATCAATACTAAGGAAACAAAAAAAGTCCTCAAAGATTGCAATAAAATCTTATAGGTGATTCATTCCAATTTTCGGAAATACCCTTACATTCCTTGTGCGGTCACTGGCCACTGAGATTTTAGTGGTCGTTGACAAAAAGATCCCTTTTCATTGCAAAGATATCTCCGCGCAAAATGTATATAACAAACCTATAACAGGATATTGCAGTTGAATAAACGGTCTATCTGATCCATATGATAGTCTAACAGAAAAAACTTACAGGCCTGAAGACTAAAAAGAAGAAGCTAAAAATTTTGCAAAAAGTCTAGATACGACCATTTTCCACCGAAAAGTTTGGATTTTTTCTGCTCCCTTAATTTTTTTGAGTAGTGTACTATCAAAATAGTTCAGGCACAACAGACATTGTTTCGCTAAGTCACACATTTAAAGAGGAGCAATGCTATCATCATTTATTTTAATCTCGGTGTAATATAGATATTGTTTAAAAATGAGAAGAACCTTTATTTTCGCCATATAATGTATGTTATAAATGTTACAACGAGTGTTACACAGCTCGGGTATCATGGAGAGTGTAAATGTGCAACGGCAATATTATCTGCAAAATTTCCTAGTCTGACTGGACTATGACATTTTATGGCTCGGAATCCAGACCGGACAGCACGACTCTTGATAGGTCAATTCAAACGGCTAACACCTTTAGCTTAAGAGAGCGAATGGACATCCAGATGTCAGTTTTTTTGTACTCGCAAATAGCCATGTTTCTGATATAAATCTAGAAGAGTTTGCAGTGAAATGATTTAGTTTTTAGTTTTCGTTGTATTTTTATGTTTTTTTTTACTATTTCTATTGTTGTTTTGCCACCAGTAATTGGTTAACCCTGTTGGTGGTGGACTTCAATAAATAAATAAATAAAATGGACTACAATACTCTCTGACCGCTTTCTAGCAAATTTTCGTTGGCGGCAGAGTTCAGATGAGTAGGGTATACAATTCGGTGACTCATAGCTGAGCTCTAAAGTTTATTTTATTTAAACGATTATTCTCATTCGTCAAACACTGAAACGCAAACTATCGTTAACTTATCAATATCAAAACTTAAGTAACCTGAGAACAGCTGCTTCCGATTCGCTAAGAACTTGATTGGTGCAAACGATGACTGGCTGTTGATTATTCTCTGTACTTTCTTTGACTTGCAGCACACAGTGTATCCATATCCACTCCCCAGAACGTCTTTGGAATTGGGCCAGCAGGATGCAGGATCTTTCTTGCTCCGACTGTGTTACTACAAAAAATATCCAAAAATGTAGGGGAAAGTCGGGTATATTGTACCGGTTTTTAAATTGTAAAACATCAATATTTGATAAATGGTAGATTTCTAACACTATCTATACCCTATTCGTAGTTAATTTATGCCCCGGCACAACAAAGATGCAGCGCTGCAAAGCGCCAGCCGCCTAAGCGGCAATAGAACTAGGAACAAGTGCAGGATTCGACAGGATAGAACTCAGGCTCGAGGTATCGCCGGCACGCCGAGAATATTTTTCCCAATGCTTCCTTCAGCCATGCTTCCTCTTCAGTGATGTCTCCTCCACGAAAACGTGACGAGAAGACACATGGCAGTGAAGATGGCTTTGTGCCCACTGCCCTATGGGCATTTGAGTAAAAGACAACGACCGACTACCATGAACAATTGGACGGGAGTTCATTTCAACGATGGTTTGAAGAAACGCTCCCAAAGCTTGACGACAATGCTGTCATTGTACTTGATAATGCTGCATACCATACTAGAAAACTAGAAAAAATTCTAAGAATGTCCACAAGAAAGGCAGAAATTCAACAATGGCCCCTATCAAAAGACATTAGTTTCAATGAACATATGGTCAAATCAGAACTTATCCAGCACAAATATAAATATAATCTTAATGTTATTGACGAAATGGCTAAAAACCAAAATAAGACCGTTTCATGGCTGCCCCTTATCACTGCGAATTAAATACCATTGAAATGATTTGGGCAAATATAAAAACCTATGTGACGTGAAAAATTTGTTTTGTGAAGCTGTCAACAGAGTGATGGCAAACCATTGGAAATATTGCATCCGTCACGTTCAAGAGACAAACGAAACAAAGATGTGGGATCTGGACGATATTCAGATTGAACCTGTAATAATTAATATTAACCATTCGGGCGATGATTCAAGTACTCCCAGCGAATAAAGAATTGTGAAAAGTATATGCACTTCTTTCTATAAAAATAATCATTTATTTTGTTAGATTCTTCCAAGACCATTGAGGAAAATACAGACCTGTACAATCTCGCCTTTGGGCATGTTGTGTTTTGTCTGGGCGTGAATGGACTACGAATGGGGTAAGTTAGCCTGTTTGATGCCTCTTGTCTTCAAAATATACAAAAGCCTGACAGACTGCTAGTCCGCCATTTTTATGGTTATAAAGTACTTATAAGGAGCTTTGAAATGAGGTATAAGTCGACTCCTATTTCATTTGAAACAAGGTTCCAAACGCGGGCAGCCGCCATCTTACAGTGTTAAACCGCGTCTTTTCCGTATCAATTTATTTACACCAAATTTCAGATTGCTAACTTGACCCGTTCAAACACTGAGTATTTACTAGAAAACTACATCCTATAGTATACGATAATTACATATAACATTGATGGCAACCTGCTAGAGCGGACCTCGACATTCAAGGATTTGGGTGCCGTTTTCGACGCTAAACTGACATTTAATGACCACACCCTCCATATGGGTTAGGCTATCGCATCAGAAATTGGTCGCTGATATCGCAACATTAATGCTCCTGCATTTTGCTTTTATTAGGAGTAAGGTGGAGCACGCATCTGTCATCTGGTCTCATACCTATCGAAACTACAGAGCGCGCATTGAGTGCGTGCAGCGTGAGGTACTCAAATATCTTTATTTTAAGTGCCACGGTCACTACCCTGAAAGAGGTTTTGACCATTCGGCACTGTTAAGGATCTTCCAAGTTGAGCCGCTACAACTAACGCGTGATTTATATCATTTTTACATAAAGTACTAAAGAATTAAATTGGTTGCCCCTTAATATTAAGCAAAATTAATCTTCGCATCCTTAGGCCCGGGAGCCGCTGTCAGAATTTGCTTTACCCTGACATTTTTAATACAAACATCGGGTGTAAATCACCGTTCAATCAATATGTTAAAAGCTATTTCCACATTACAAATGCTGGCATACTTGTATACATTTATTTGTGTTTTTCTTTTTTTTTATGTTCAGCTGTTGTTAAATTATTGACTTATTTTTGTTGTTAATATGTATGTATCCAAGAAAGAGACTAAACCAAAACAGTGATCATCGCGTGATTATTGCCTGATCAGTACACTGATATATTTCAAGAGAGAGGGAGCATAACTGTTATTGGGCAGAATAGGTCGAACCCTTACACAAAACCAATGACAAATCAGAGGGTGGAGTGGGAGACGATACGACCGTGCATGCCGGCTGTCCCGGTGGCTGGCCGTACAGTACAGAGTTGGCATCAGATTTATACAGGGATTACTGTGTGCTTAATAGATTTGTCAGTTTAATTTCGTAGATCTTAAAATGTCTGATACGGATACAGCTGATGAAATTATTGATATAAGCTGCACACCGCCTAAAAAAAAGCTTCATTTTAGCATTAGCGAAAAATAAATAATTATCAACATTTATAAATACGAAATGCAATGAAGGAGTGACTCAAGTGTTCAGGATATTGTTTGCAAATCTGACACCTACATATTTTTCAATACTTGTAAGACGAGGAATTTCAACTAAAATTATATTTTATTTTTGTTTTTGTACATGCTTAACCTATATCGAGATGAGAAATCAAGCAATCATTTTGTTGGGGTTTTAATGCTTTCAATGGGAGCGGTTTTAAAGTGTCCAAAATGAATTAGTTTCAGGAAAAGGTAAGCGATTGATAATCTGCCACATCGGTAATGAAGATGGATTTGTGTCCGATGCTTTATGGGCATTTGAATAAAAAAAAACGGAAGACTACCATGAAGAAATGAATGGAGCCTCGTTCGAAAATTGGTTCTCAAATACACTACCGAAGCTTGAAGATAATTCGGTTATAGTATTAGATAATGCTTCATTCCACATGAGAAAATTAGAGAAATTTCCAACAACGTCAACAAAAAAATCAGAAATTCAAGGATGACTTAAGAATAAAAAGACTGATTATGATGATACAACGGTTAAGGCAGAATTGTTACAAATTGTCAAGACGCATAAAAATAAATAGGTATAACCTGAACATAATTGATGAAATGGCGAAAAAAACAAAATAAAACTGTTTTATGACTGCATCCTTACCATTGTGAACTCAATCCGATTGAGCTCATTTGGGCAGACATAAAAGAATATGTTGCAGCAGAAAATAAATGTTTTAAATTTTCTGACCTTGAAAATATTTTTCATGATGCCATACAAAGAATAACACCGAATAAGTGGGAAATGTATTAGCATGTAAAAGAAAAGGTTGAACCTAAAATGTGGGAATTGGATAGTATCATTGATACTCAAGTTGCCCCTTCAATCATAAATCTTGATGACAGTGGGAGTTCCACGGCCTCAGATCTAGAATGATTTTAATTTTCAAATATATGTATTTCCGGTTTTAGAGGTGAAATGTCTGTGCAATAAATTTTTGTATAATATTTAGTATATATTATTTTGTATTCAAATCCTTTTTCTTTCAACTCCACCTATCTATTCATTTTTTAGTCTAATATTTAAATTAACTGTTTGCACTCTGACGTCCCTGTGCAAGCGGTAATGTGTCAAGACATTTTTTAAAAGCCTGCTTTATAAATGCGTGTTACGACACATCTCGAGTATAATTTCTTGATGAAATACTCCTACTAAAAACAACAATAGACTGTTGTTTTCTTTTTGGTCATGACAGTTAAATTTAAAAAATACATTAATTCCAAGCTTTACATGCCTGCAATAGTTTTGATCGTATCGTAGAACCACAAATCATTTATTTTTAGTACGGCCCTGTAACATGCTCGGCGTTCTGTAGCGCGATTACGTGGAGTATACGTGAATATGTTTATGCTTGGTCTCTTTCTTCGATGGATACATAATAGTATACTTCCTGTAACTCAGTGTAACCTCTTGGGGATTATAAATAAACAAATAAATGAACAAACGAACGAACGAACGAAGAAACAAACAAATAAACGAATGAATAAATAAATAAATAAATAAATAAATAAACGAATAAATAAATAAATAAGCTTTTTGAAAAACCCCGGGTAACTAAATGTCTGAAACGTAAAAGTGACATCTTAGCATTCGATGCAACATAAGCTCTAGTTAAAATTTCAAACACTGGATGGACCAGTCTGTAATACGTTTATACTTTTGTGCATGGTACGGCACTGGTTACAATGCAACTTACTTAATCGATGCTTAGTCTGCGCTTCTCTGGTACTGTCCCAATGTAGCATTCGGTACCAGGACACCCCCTGCAGTTCCGAGCGCGGGAAGCCCAGGTAGAATTCACCGCTGAAACAATGCAAAATGCAACACAAGTGTAACAGTTGGCTGTGATTTACCGCTGTGGATGTCATCGGGTCTCCCGTGACCCTGTGACCCCCGAGCTTAACTCAGAGACGGCACACAAGGCAATACAGATTTGTAGGAGATTTTTTTATTGTATCAGGTTTCACCAACGAATTCGAGTAGATTAGAAAAAGCCATTTACTTTATATTGTTTGTCACCAAAATTGCTTGGTTTTAGTGCATTTGGCTGCTATTGCCTACCAAAGTGACAACGTAATAAAAAATGTAAAAAAAAGTTCCTATGAACATAAAATGAGAGTTTTCAAGATACAGTGTTATAAATAAAAAAAAATCTTTTTTGTTGTTATCTTAAAAAATGTTTACTCGATTATGTTGAAATTTGACAATATTATTTGTTGTATTAAGATGGTAATTCAGCCCTAAATAGATTAAAATTATTAGGTCCATTGGCACCTTAGCGAATATTATTGGCGAAAAAATGTACGCCACCTTTTTTGTAACTTTAATATTTATTATTTGATTAAGCATCCAAAAATACAACTTTAGGCCTCTTGTATTTTTTCGTATCTTATTTCGTTTTCAAGAAAAAAAAATAAAAACCGTTTTATTGCATTTTACTGGATAAAATTGGTTTATAAATTTTTGCTAAAAAAATCATAAGTTCATTTGAAAACAAAAAATCATTTCTTCGTGGAGATTTGACACTTGCGCGTCAGTTCAAACGTCAACAGAATCAAGCATATATTTTTTAAGATGATAATATTTTTTTTAATCTATCACTCTGTAGCTTGAAAACTCTGCATTTCCGGGCCCATGTTTATAAAACTTTTTTTCATATTTTTTTAACAAGGAATCACCCTATAAAATATCTCCGTCTATTTTTCGAACACCCTGTATAGATATTATGGCATGAGAAATGCAAAGTAGACTCACAATTTTTCAAGAAGCTAGATTATGAATATTGTACACCTCTGCCTTTTAAATAGCGCATATATTTATATGAAACTTGTTTTAAAGAATGATAATTATTAGTATTACATCAAACAATACGCATCAGCAAAAATCAGTGGCGGTTCATAAGAAAAGAAAAAGGAACAAAATCGAAAAAAATATAGGTATACCAACTTTTAACTCCATGTTTTTCTGGCCAAATGAAATCAAATATGTAGAAGTTACTCGTTTCTGATAAATGTCGTCCACCTTGGATGACCCTTCCAATGTACAGATCACAATGACAATGAAAATATGTTCTATATTTATCTCTCTTCCAGGTAACGGGTCCCTTGTACTTCTTATACTATAAAGTGTGTTGCAACAACAGCCTAAACAGACATCTACTACGAATACAATTTTAAGACGCACCGCGCAAAATCAGCAAAGCCCAAGACTGCCTGTTAGGCATTTTCACTCCCGAAAGAATTCCAGCCCACAAAGCGACAAGCGAGCATAAGGTTATCTGTTTTGGATGTACCTGTCACACTCGCTTATCGCAAAACGAAAATCCGCCAAGAACTGTTGTTGCAACGCCAAAAAAACATGCGAGTTCTATCAATATGAAAACCATAAAAAAAGTTGTTACATTAATCAGCTTCCAAATTACGATCAAATACGAATTCTCAACAACCCAAATTTTTTAAATCCGCATCAATTTTTTGCGTTCTCTAAAAGATCTGTTGGTGATATGCATATACAATTTTGAACGCGCCTATGTTAATGATTTTTTTAATTAATTTTGCAGTTTTACAAAAATAACAGTCCATGTAATTATAATAGTAAAATCGAATTCATTGTACATGGACATTTGAACTGAAGTATGAGAAAGAGTATGGAATTCTTTTTGCTTTTGAGAGTGAAAGCAAAACAGTACTTCGGCGCTCGAATAAAGTTATTGTGTTCTCGGATACGCCTATGGTTCGATAGTAAGATGCAGGCTGATTTATCACACAAACGGAGCGTACAAGACTCATAACGCACAGCATGGTTGCCAGATTCTTCAACCATTTAAGACGAAAGTATCAAGTAGTTTCCGTTTAAAACATTTTAATTCTTCTTCTCATACTGATTGATCCACAAAGGCAAAACTTAAGTACTTGTCGATTACCTAGGAGCACATGTCCAGTCCGTCAACAGGGATCTAAGGCCGACCCTTACAACTCTACGGTTATACATTCTCTTAACAGTAAGGTGACGGAAAAGAGGAAAAACGTCACGACTCATGCCGTTGCTATTGATATCATGAAAGCGTTCGATCAGCAGTGACATGCTGCCTTCTTATGCAAACTTCCAACAAGGTCAACGCGGGTATTCCCCAGGGATCAGTCTTGATTTTGACATTGTACCTCTTACATATCAACGACATCCTTCCTGTGAGATCAATCCAATCCACAAATTTGCTCGTAACAGCATTCTACATGCAGGAATTGAGAGTGACCAACGTTTGTTCTGTAAGCTCAAAGACATACCTTTTTAGTTGTGTCTCCGGCTTGAAAACTTTGTCGCTACGTATGAGTGCCCTTCAACCATATTTGTCAAAGTGACAACGTACTTCAATATAAAATTGTACAATACCCGGAAAAACGAGCAATGGAGAAGGCCGACAGCTTTTTTTTTTCCAGGAAGAGAATGAAAACAGCGGTCCCCTTCATGCTTACTGTAGAGAGCAGCTGATGCGCTGAAGATTAGTCTGCGCCCATGGTACGGGGATTCGATCTATTTACTTATTTCATATGGCGTTGATGACGTAACCGCCAAGAACGGTGACTACAACTATAATAATGTGTGAAATTATTTCCCAAGTCCGATCCTGTCGCCGTGGGCGGTGAGCATTTGTCGACGCCAGCTGAAAAATGCATGCAGTATTTTGCGGGAATGTAACTTCTGGAGATGACTATTCTGTACTAGGAACAAGGAAGCAGTTCTTGATGCACAGAACGCAACTAATTAGAATGAGAAGCAGAAGTATAAATTGTCCACATAGCAGACCCATCGTGGAAGAGAGTGCAGAGAAGCAACGATTCTATTTATTGTTTATTAAAATGTTTTGTCACCACTTACTTGTTATCTATGTGTATGAACCTCATGTCCATCGAGTGAATGGAAGTGAAGACATTCGTAGCTCCTTGCACAACACATTCCCTAGTTTCAGGCATTGCTACAGGTGTGCAGGTTGCTAGGAATACAGGTTCGTTTCTACTGCATAGTGGTAAAAAGGAGAGGTACCTTCCTTGGACTAAAATCACCTGCAATGTTTCCTTAGTTTAAATTCATAAGAGCTAAAATTTCAATGATGAATCGCGAAAGATGTTTCGTTTTGATGAGACTCATAAGTACAATATGGGATTTGTGTGGAATCTATAATTCCTGCACTATTACCGAAAGTCGGTCCGTGAGTAATTGTACAGGGGTACCACAAAATGTCTGGAGTGCATTCATTTCAATTTTTTAAATGCGTAATAGTCTCATCATATTAACAAATTTCACCGAAAAATTGTAAATTCTGGTTTTATTGGTGCAAGTTGTTCAAGGAGGTATTTAAAACATGGACGCATAAAATGGGTACACCAGTTTTTGTGGGAAAACTTGACAACAAAGAATGAGAAAACGTGTTTTTTGGAATTCATTCGAAAGTGTTGACAGAAACGAAAAAACTTTTTATACAAGATTTTTAGGTATATATATACATATATACTATATAACTTGACACGTGGTCATTGGCGTTTAGACCAGTTAGGTGAAAAATAAAGCTTCCGCCTTTTATTGGGTACTTCGACAAAATTCAAGCAAAGAGGACTCTTTATACTTTATTAATCTCTAGCTTTCAATGGACTTTGCCATCTTCATTAGGAGCTACAATAAAATTGAGAAGAAATAGCAACTATTGTGCAAGATGATTCTAAATTAACTCACATTCGTATGTCGTATGTCCAGCTAAGACAAAGAAAAGTGGGAAATCGGCGACGTCAGTTAAAACTTCTTCTGCGGCACCTTCTGCCGTGCCTGCAAAAAAATCTCCTTCTAAGGCAAAGAAATCCAGCAAGGGAGCTCCAACCACGAAGTTAAAAGCACCAAAACCGTAAGTTAATTTATAACTAGTTTGCACAATAGTTGCTATTTCTTCTCAATTTTATTGCAGCTCCTGATGAAGATGGCAAAGTCCATTGAAAGCTAGAGATTAATAAAGTATAAAGAGTCCTCTTTGCTAGAATTTTGTCGAAGTACCCAACAAAAGGAGGAAGCTTTATTTTTCACCTATATATATATATATATATATATATATATATATATATATATATATACTTCTAAATAACAACAAAAGAGCATTTAATAGCAAATCACACGTGCTTAACTTGCCGATATGAATCACAAACCATTCCGAAAGATACATGTTATTTAAGCGAAAAACAAAGGTTTTTTCTTCTAAACAAATTCAAACATTTTGTATCTGTGAGGAATTGAACAAATGCGCTACGATATTCGAAAAGCATACGTTACTATTTTGAAACAAAGCGGATGTGTCTATCATCAAGAAAAAACGAAACCCATCCTTTTTTGCATAAAAATAAAATTTATTTTCCGGAATGGTTTTTGATTCATATCGGCAAGGTAAGCTACTGTATTTTGCTATAAAATGCCCTTTGAACTAATAACCCTGCATATTGCTCAATAAACTAGTAGTGATGGCCGGAAAGCAGGAGTTTTGGGATAAACAATTAGAGATTCTTAAAAACGACTTGACCAATCTACTCCAATTTCGTTGTGGTGATTTAGAAGTACGAATCTTACGGATTTGAAGAATTTCAAATATCTGCGAGAAACCATCGTCGCAAACAAGTGTCAAAACCTGCAGTTGCCTCGGTTTTCGGCCATAACTTTTTTGATTGCAGTCTCATTTTGTACGTCTCATAAATACCTAAAAATCATATGGGATCAGTTTTTTAGTTCCTGTCAACACTATCGATTGAATCCTAAAAAACACGTTTTCTCATCCTTTGTTGTCGAATAAAAAGTTTTCTCTCAAAAATTGGTGTACCCATTTTATGCGTCCATGTTTTGAATAGCCACTTGAACAACTTGTAGCAATAAAACCAGACTTTACAATTATTTAGCAAACTAGGGGTATTTAAGTCTAATATGACTAGACTATAACTTATTTCATCACTTATCACTTTTCCTACCTTTTGGTCTCCAAACCTCATCTGTCTTCTAGCATTCCTCGAAACATTCATTCTACAAAGAAATAATCTAACCTCGTCACTTAAGTTACTATTTGAACCTGTATTTACTGGTCTTCCTAACTCACACTGGATTGCTTGGTGATCTTGCTTGTCTATTATATCGTATACACTATCTCCATGAATAAGTAGATCCTCCTGAAATTTAAAAAAAATCTTACTTATACACTATACAGCGCTTTTCCAAAAAGGTCCTTCCACTTATTTCCTGAACAGTTCAAATTCGGGGTGATGAAAGTGATGCATGATTACGCATGATTACTATATTTGAACGTAAGCGTGACATCTCAAAACTTAAAACGGCTACTGGGCGCCATCTTGGTACATTTTTCAAATCGATATAAAATAATGTTCCAAAATGGCGCTCACGCGAACTTTTGCTTAATAACTAGACCCACTCCAAAAATAAGGTGAGAAACCTTTTTGAGGGGCTTTGTATGATGATAAAGAAATGGCGTCAACTAGGTTGAGTCTGCACGTACTACGCAACGCCGCCATCAGTTCATAAAAGATTAAGTTCAGCAGAAGTCTGGCGAAACATTTAATCACGAACATGTACAATAGAGAAAAATCAAACAGCTCAAAGTTAGTCAAGCAGGTCCGTACAATTAATCCATAGACATCCTTGGCCTGTCCTACCGGTAGTTGGGAGTACTACTAACAAAACTGTACTCACCCAATAGGACAGAAAAGATCTAATCTGCACCATACACAAGAAACAGCTAATACTAGATTATCCCCCGTTTATGTAAAAATCCAAGTCCCCTCGTATACTGGATAGCCGCGCGATAGCAATGTGCCGGGAACATTCTCCATAAAGAACAACCCAGAAATAAACTTGTTCCATAAGAGTTTTCACATTTTTCCGTGTTAGGAAATATTTTTCTAAGGTTTAAGGGTAAATGTACTGTATGATCTGTGATAATAAAAAGCTCTTAAAATCATCTGGAATGGTCATCCGGGAGGACTTGACTCAATATAAATTGAAGCTACTGAAGGATGCTATCACGAAAATGGGAAGAAATGGTAGAGTCTGGACGACAAACGGCACAATATTCTGCAAATATGATGGAGAAGGCAGAACTGTGAAGATAGAGAAGCCTAGTGATATTGCAAAATTGTGAGGTCCGTTTTGTTCATTCATATTGAGATGATAATGCAACCGTTTTTTTTTCTTGCAAAAGAAAGTTTGTACTAGATTAGATTTTTTTTATTCTTGAAGGCTACGTTCTGCCTGATTCTGTCGCTATTATTGATTTTTATTCATGATTTTTAAGTTTTTTACAGTGATGAATAGAGGATGACAGTCCCATAATAAAAACACTATTTTGTGGCCTGAATATATTAAGTATATCCACTTTTTTGTTTATACCTAATAATTTGTTTCCCAATTATTTTGATCACTCGACATTTCTTCTCGTTTATGTGTTCTCCTTATTTCAATTTTTAAGTGTATCGAAGTGAAGTTTCTTATGAATCAATACGGCGTCATGACGTCATCCTCTATTTTGATTCTGAGCAAGTAGGAATAGTTCTAGTTACTCTCATTTATGTATTGCTAACAGTTTATCTTTTTCTCATTAAGATGATTATATATCTATTTTAATCTGCAGCACAACACTCGTGCAATTGAGCTCCCACTTTCACGTGGATTCCTTTTTTTTTTCTCTCTTACTTTCTTTCGTACTAATTTTTTGTGAGACCAACAACTTTTTGCAGATTACAACATTCATTTAATTCTATTAACCTACATATATGTGTATATGTGTATGTATATATGTGTATGTGTGTATATATATATGTATATATATATATATATTATTTTTTTATCTACTATCTTGTATCTATCTTATTTTGAGTAGGCGCTATAACTGGTTGGCTTCTTTTCGATAACCATGCAACATATAAACATAGGTAGCTTAAACGTTCGATCGTTGTTACCATCTATATCTAATGTTCGATCTCTAATCACTGAGCACTCTTTTGATATTTTTTTAATTTGTGAGACTTGGTTACATGCTGGAATTGATGATGAAGTGGTGCACATTCATAATTTTAGTTTATACAGAATTGATCGACATACTAGGGGTGGTGGATTACTCATATATGTAAAGCATACCATTAATAGTGAATTGATGCAAATTGAAGAAAAGTTGTTTAGCGAGCAATTGTGGATTACTGTTAAGTTGAATAATAAACGTTTTGCGATTGGCGTTGTTTATAAGCCTCCATATGTCGAAATAAATAACTTTTTGAACGAATTTGAGACAGCTTTGAGTTTGATATATCCTACTGTGGATGATGTTATAATAGCTGGAGATTTTAATATAAATTTGTTGGACTTGAATAGTGCTGTTAATAACTTTTATTCTGTTTTAGAGGTATTCGAGCTAACACAAATTATTGAAGGACCAACGCGAATATCGGGTGTTTCAGCAACGCTCTTGGATCTTATCTTATTACGGGAGGAACTTGTTTTAGACAAAGGAATAATTGATGTTGGCCAGGTATCAGATCACTTTTTGGTTTTTTGTAAAATGTCAGTTGGTAATCCACATTCAAAAGAAAAATTTATCACATATAGAAGTTTCCAGTTTTTCAATGAGGAACATTTTCTGAATGATCTCCGTGGTATATCTTTTTTCCAAATGTTCGACCAAGACAGCATTGATACGAAAATAGCCTTTTTCACTAACTGCTTAGTTGAATTATTCGACAGACATGCCCCTTTAGTTAGAAAACGCGTTACAAAAGGTAGGGCGCCATGGATGACTGATACGATCAAACAAATGCAGCAGCTCCGTGATGAAGCACTTAAAAGTTATAAACGATCAGGTACTCATGCGCACTTACAGTATTATAAAGATTTAAAGAATTATGTCACTAGCGCTATTGGAAGAGAGAAAAGAGCGTATTTCTTCCATAAGTTCATGCATAGCAGCTCCCAGCAAATGTGGAGGATATTAAAACAAAACAAGATGCTAAAAAATAACTTTAGTAACTCATTGCCCCCTAACCTAATGGATGTGAACCTTCTGAATGATTTTTTTATAAATTCCATCTCCCCAAGTGAACCTCCAGATTCCTTAATAAATTTTTACAAAAATAACTGTCTGACAAACTCCAAATTCAAATTTAAAGAAATTGATGAAATATTCATATATCAAGCTATCTCTGGTATTAAAACAAATGCTGCAGGCTGTGATGGCTTGAGTATCTTTCTAATAAAACTTTGCTGTCCACATGTTATTCCTTATATCAGGCATATAATAAATTGTTGTTTGATTCAAAATGTTTTTCCAGAAGCATGGGGGAGTGCAGTTGTAAAAGTAATTCCCAAAAAGCTAAATCCTTCAGATTTTAATCACCTCAGAGGAATAAGCATTTTACCAGCATTGTCAAAATTATTAGAAAAAGCGGTTGAGAAGCAATTGATGGAACATCTATCAAAGTTTTCTTTGCTTTCTCCAATTCAATCTGGTTTTAGAAAGAATTTTAGCTGTACAACTGCACTTCTACATGTAACAGATGACATTATCAGAGCCACTGATCAGGGAAGGTGTACAGTTTTCATAATGTTGGATTTTAGTCGAGCTTTCGATACGATCAATTTTAATTTACTCCTAAATATATTGCATTTTATAGGCCTCGATTCGGATAGTGTCAACTTTTTCAGTAAGTATCTAAAGAGCAGAAAGCAAAAGGTTTTCTTGGAGGGAAGTTATTCTGACGTATTAGCCTTAAAATCAGGCGTGCCGCAAGGCTCTATTATGGGTCCGCTCCTTTTTGCAATTTATACTTCATACCTCGGCAAAGGCTTAAATACTTGCAAAATGCACTGCTATGCTGATGACACTCAGCTGTATCATACTTTTCTACCCAGTGATGTGGACACTGTGAGTGCAACCATCAACAGAGATTTATCATTATTGACAAAGAATGCCGAAGAACATTGTTTGCATCTTAACTCTAGCAAATCTAAAGTAATTGTATTTGGGCCAAAGCATGCGCGCCAGGCTGTTACTAACTCAATTAACTTTACCATCAATGCACAACAACTTGAAACTGTCAGTGAAGCAAAGAACTTGGGTGTAACATTGGATGTAAATTTAAGATTTGAAAAACATGTAAATTCGTTCATTCGTAAGGCATATTCCTCTTTAAAAATATTGTACGGCAACAGACGTAACCTTCCCGTTAAAGTCAAAATAAATCTATGTGAGTCGTTGGTGCTCTCGCACTTCAATTTTTCTGATATGTTGTATGGCCCATGCTTAACTGCCACTTACAAACAAAAAATTCAGGTTGCGCAGAATTCTTGCCTCAGATTAATATATGGCATCAGAAGACGAGACCGAATATCCCATAAGTTGAAAGATGCGAATTGGTTGAACATGGAAACAAGAAGATTTTTGCATGCCGCAACATTATATCGTAAAATAATTATGTATAAGACCCCCACTTACTTATTTGAAAAAGTTACATTTCGAACAGATGTGCATAACATCAATATAAGATCCAGGGGGTTGCTGACACCGCCGATATTCCAAACAGCCCAATTTGAACGATCGTTCAGCTACCAAATTTGTTCCGTTTATAACACCCTTCCGGTACAATATAAAACTCTGAGCATCTCAAGTTTCAAAACTCAATTAAAAAAATATCTCTTATCCCAGCAGTAGTAACCATGTCTCAGGAAAATATTGATATAAGTTTATGATTAATTTTAGTAGATGTATTAATGTAGGCAATGCATATACATTTAATATTTGTAATGTGTAGAATAAGTAGGTCTCACCCACCCTTTGTACGGACTTTTTTTATAGCGGGTTAAGTGGAAGAGCAGCGACAGCTGAACTTCGCCCGTATTTTGCTATTTTTTTATATAATCAGTCCATTTGGAAATAAAGACGTTTATTATTATTATTATTATTATTATATATGTATGTCAATAAGTGCGTGGAATTACCGGGGTTGGAAGTGTATTAATATACCAACATCAAAAAACTACCACACCTTACAACCGGATACCCCCAATTTTTTACCCCTATTTTTCCACAAATTATCGGGACCCTCTGAAACGTCAAGAAACGTTTGGGCGATTCTTATCTTTTTGTTTTCGGAATTTTTCTCCGCCG